CCTACTTGGTTTGGCCCAAGTTGCATGAATGAAGCACGGACTTTTTAAAGGAGTTCGGGCGATCCTACTTCTGAAGACATAGTTTGTGCAATTTCAGCAGATCCCCCTTTGCCGAAGACAAGAAGCAAGCCATGCAGAGCACAGGCACTTTCCTGGACTTGACGCACGACCTTAGCAGCATCAACCAGTCAGGCTATGTGAAATTTTGGGCCCGTGCCAGACTTCATGACAAAGTGCGGACAGCACGACAGACTGGCCATTTTACCAGAGGAACAGCTGCTAAATTGTATGGCATTGCCAACTTCCTGGAGCAAGGCATCTACGGCCGTGTCGGGTATGGGGATCTCATGGCCAGCAAAGCCCGCCAGGATGAAGCTAATACCGCGCTGACCCCTGAGATTGAGGCGTGCTTCGAGGTGATCGAAGCTGTGATGCGCTTTGAACCCAAGCGAGAGTTTCCAGTTTTTCCTTGGCAACGACTTCGATTTTTGGCCGCATCAGATGCTGCTGTCGAAGCGGACAATCCAGGCTCGGGTGGATTCCACCTCATCTTTTTCCAGCCGGATGGATCACGAACCCGTCTCGCTTTTGTTGCAACCAATTGCGCCGAGCTTCAAGCCCTATGGCAACCTGCGGAGACCCACATCGCGCAACTGGAGCTTTCCATGGTACTTTATGCCCTGATTGAGCGACCTGACCTTTTTCGTCATGGACACGGTCTTTGGTTCCTCAACAATGTGGCCGCGGTGATGACCTTAGTGAGAGGGCGTTCTAGCAATCCTGATTTAGCTAAGCTTGGCCATTTGATTCATCTAGCCCTCTTCGCACTGCGTGCCCAGGGTTACTGGGAGTACGTCCAGAGCAAGAGCAACTGGGCCGATGATATCAGTAGATTAGGTGTCAATGATCCTTGGTGGCGCCGCCATGGATTTAGCTTTTATTCGTCGTACCTCCCCACCATCTTTTTCCATCTGCCTTTCGTCGCAGTCATCCTCACCTTCCAATTCCTTTAATGCTTTGGGAGTTTTAGTGCATTGGGTGATACCTGCAAGAGCAGGTTCCAACCTGGGGCGACCAGGTAGCTGACCAGTGGTGAAACTGGTCTGGGGCTATGTACGTGTCACACAGTGACGACCCAAAGCAAACCTGAGGATTGCAGGTGAAACTGACTCAATCAACACTGGCAGGGTTTGGAAAAAGGATTGCGAGTGTCTGCGCGGTACGTAGTTCATATGTCACTTTGAGATGATTTTTTGGCATTAGTATTCTCATGTTCGGGCTGGACTTATTTATGCAATTTTTGATGCCTCAGCCTTTGTTGCACCATTTCTCGCATTTCTGATCGTTTCACCCATGGAGCACAAACGAGACGCGACCGTGGCGGGCTTGGCTTGGCCTTCGAATCCTACCCGTGGACTCGCTCCTGCCAACCCAGTTCAAGTACCAGACACCCAGGCTGCTGCACTTTGTCATTCTGGCCTTTCTGACCCTCCTACCAACACCACCTCGGCACCTTTGGCGACTGACAGTACAGCTCCTGACCTTGGAACTACGGTCCATTCTGATACATATTCAAGCCTCGCACCTCCTGATGTCCCGTTTCCGACGGAGCCAAGTTCTACACACCACTACCTCCATCGTGCTCACTTCTCTTCCCGCGTGGTTCACCAGATCCAATTCAAGATCTTTACCCACTCCAACAACACCAGGGAACTATTCATTGAAGAGATCCCCTTGTCAGGGCTTTCCAGATGTCGTGATCCTGAACACTACTTTTATGGTCTTTCGGGCAACTGGGAATGGTCCCTGCGCACAGCGGATTATTGGCGACATCATTTTGAAATTCCTCTAGTACATGGACATCACCCTTTTCACAACGTTCCCATTGAGACCACGGCACCTACGGAGGCAACCCGCTTTACTCCGACGATCCAGGACTTGGCCCAACAACTTTCAATCACTTTGAGGGCTGCTATGGCATCTGGGGAAATCAACGACACGTGGAGGACGCTTGAGGACATGAGCTTCCGTGACGCGATCGAAACACTTCAAGCCGAGACGAGCCTCCCTTCTGAGTGACTGAATACAGTTATGTACATTAGCTCCGGAAAAGCTTTATGTATTTAATTTTGTCGACAATTGCTGCGATGGTCTTCCAAAAATCAAACCCCGCTACAAGCGGGGTGTGTGTGTGTGTAACATCTGAACAGATGTAAAACTTCCTTGACTCTTATCGTTTTACATTTGCAGGGAACCTTTATATTTGCAGGGGGACTGGAGCCGATTTGCCTATCCAGTCCAACGAAGCTATGGCATTTCGGTGGATGAGTGGTCTGATCAACCACTTGTACCTGCAAAACTCAGTTTGAACTGTTGACCATGCTGTTACACTGCGTTGTTTCGAACCTACACGGTTGCCACAATCTGTATTGCATGCATCAGAACCTTCCTCAGATTTTCGCCGAAACCACGTCGCCGACAGTATTAGACATATTTTCGCCGAGATCATGTCGCCGATGAACTTTAGATCATTTTGGGAAACAATCGCCGAAACAGTATTATTTTGGATTTTCAACATGCTGGTCAAGACTTTGTGGACTCTGGTTAAAACTCCGTTTGACAATATTGGATACCCTACATCGTTTTCGAGAAGTACCTCATGTGGCTCCTTCATTAATCTAACGATCTAGGCTGGTTTGCATGTTTCAGGATTCAGTTCCTGCCGGATCATATAATGATCCATTCTTGTCTAGTGTGTGTGTGTGCGTGCAAATGTGAGCACTGTAGTTGGCTGCAACTGGCAGCCTCAATTCGTGAATGCTCCATTTTGGAAGGACTGTGAGGAGGACTGCGTTTTTTTTAGAGCTGCGAAGCTGTTTTGATCTGAGATCAGCCCCAAACTCACCCCAACGACCCAACGACCAAGGTCATGTCTGGTTAGGTCATGCTCGCAGCCTGCTTTCTAATTGCATGAGCTGCCCATGGTGTGCGCATTGTCGAGTGGCTTGTACATGATCGGATCAAAGTGTCTGACCGCAAACATAGGTGTCAACCCTTGCAGGAAGGTGCTGCCATAGCCACCGTGAAGTCAAATTCAAATCTACCAGACGGCAGAAGAACCGTCCTCCGGCAGGCCAGTTTGTGGAAATTGCTTTGCAAGGTGGTGAAGCAGTGAATGATTCCCATGTATTGCCTGGGGTGACCACGCACCAACGGGTCAAATTAGAATAATATAGAATAAGAATTTGCAGTGGGGGTGGCGCGGAAGCTCAGCCTAGATTCAATCAGCCGATGAAGCAGCAAAGGGTGGACAACCAAGAAATACCAAGAAAACAGCAGGTCAAATTGTCGTGCTTTTCTTTGCTTCGAGGTTTAGGCGTGAGCTCCCTCAAATCTTCGCCAGGATGGGCGTGGAGACGGTTTGACCGCTCGCCACAACTCCCCGCAGCCTGATCTAACTTGGGAAGGGCCGCGGAAAGGCATGAGTTCGGCGGGGCGAAAGCCGAAGACTCTGTCAGATATGAACACTCTGTCAGACGTTTCCCAAAAATCAGCAATGACTTAAGTCTTGGTGGCAACGACGAACGAGCAGCAGAGCGCCAACAGCCTTTGCCGGCTCCATCTCTAGGCGGGGAGCATGTTCTTCAACCTATTGAAAACCAAGTGTCGGTCGCAGTTCGCGACTTGCCGGCTAATTGTTCCGTTCAATCCCATCATTGCCAGGCCCTCTGGCGCTGTCGCAAGCACAGTCTGCTAAACCCTCAGAAACTTCAAGGGATGGATTGAAAAAGCGAGCGCTTTTCAAGGGGTGAACAGGTGACCAAGGAACAGAAGTGGACAATGCCTCGGCACCATGCAGTAGGACTAATTCATGACGAAACTATCGAAACATATCGAAACTCTCAAGGAACAAAAGGATACTCATCGGCTCATCGGCTCGTCCATCCTTCGTCCTCATCTCCAGCGCTGTTGGCTCTTTTGAATTCTTTTGATATTTTAGGACTCCCAGGACTCCCAGTCTTTGTCAAGTTTTTGTTGATTCTATGCGATTCTATCATATCTTCATGTATTCCTCCATTCCTTCTATTCATGTCACTGCCTTCCTCTTAAGAGGCACTCTTCATGCGTGCTTCTTGTAATGATCATCTTCCATCATCTTCCCATGAATCGATTTCACTCCTGGGCATCACCCCGCGGTGGCTGCAGTGGATGGCATGCACCAAACAGAGAGAGAGAGAGAGAGCGCCGCACCTTTCTAAGTTCGTTCTGAAGTTCCCATGCTCCTGGGTCCTTCGAATCTATCATGTTTTGTTTACCACATTTTGCCAAAGTTTGTTTTCTATGTTTTTCTCCTTCTCGCTTGAATGATCTCCCAGACCAACCTATGGAATTGCTTGAGCTCAGGAACCTTCAACGATAGACAGGCTTTAGCTGAGGTTTTCCATCTGACCTTTGTGCAAAGTCCACGAGAGCGAATGTCAGGTTGCTATAAGTTGCTATACATGGATAATGAAAGTCTCTACAATTCTCTACATACCTGGGATTCCAAAGTTATGTTGTATGACCGTGCCCATAGGCATGGAGAACAGACATGTTTAAGTCTCAGGGCCAAAGTTTCACCAATATACGGAGAGAGAGTGCTTAGCAGAGATCCTTACAAGTCGAAAGATCCACACATTGCAGATTTTTTGGAACGGCTGTCCCGGAAGTGACAGGGAAGGTTTCATATACTGTTTGAAGATTTTGAAAATGTCTGTAACTTGCGTAAGGACCTCCGTTTGTGAATGTTTTCTTTTCGTTGGCCAGTGGCTCTGGGGCCGCACCAAGTGTGGCTGCCACAAGTGCGTTATGGGCCAGTTGCAAATCCAGAACGCTTCGCTGCGAATGTCCAAGACATTCTGAGTTCCATGCGGGCAAAAAAAAGGCTTATGATATTTTACAAGATAAATTTTCACAAAAGCTCATCACATGCTTTCCAGTTTCGAATTCTCGCACCTTTGGATATGCCTCAACCTGCGGCCTGGTGTGCTTCTGTGCTTGAGCCATTGAGAGTCATCTCAGATAATCTCAGCTTTTGCTGGCTCAAGTGTGAGAGTTAAACGCTGGTGGTCCACCGGTCTCATGGTTTTATGTCTTCACAACCGGACCGTGCTGGAACGCTTTCGAGTGCTTTGTGCCTCATCAACACTAGAGGACATTCCGGCCGCACACCTGAGCAGCGCCACAAACCGCCGGAGTTTATAGATGTTTAATGTACAGTATGACAGTATATGACAGTATTTGAATGTTTAATGTTTGAAACATATGTAATGTTTGAATGATGTTGATGGATGTTCATTGCAATTTCATGCACGGTAGCGGGTGCAAAAGCACCTGGCATGTCTAGCCTAGCTGTAGTGAAAGAACTGGCTATATCCTACTCTCATTGTTGGCCTTGGCAATAATTATGTAATATGTAGCAACATAATGCAACATATAATATATGGCCTGTCAATGAATGCTAAAAGCTGAGGCACAATATGCCTCGTCTTCGATGGGATATTCGCGCTGATTTTTGCCCTCTCCGGGCTGAATGCCAGTGCCTACTCCGCGGAGACGCTTTGCTACGAGGAGAATGGCTACTCGTGGCACAACATTCTTGTCGTCATCTCAGTACCATCAGAAATAGGCAGCTTAATCACTTCATGAACTCATCAGGAGAGTGCTCCTTTCTTGAATGGTGCCTGAAACAGATGACATGCTTGGTGCGAGAGGCAACCTCAGAGTAGTGTAGCTCCAACAAAGAATGAAGGGCCCGAAGGGTGCACTGAGAAATTCAGTGAAACAAAGGCCTTGAGTTTCATCATCTCCGCAGTCTTCGCAGCATGGGGTGTGCTTTTGCATGGTGCTGTGGTGATCAGTGGCGAGGGTGCGCCAATGAAGGCAGCGCAGCTGGTAGGGGTCTCTCGATATGGCCATATACTGGTGGCCTGGACGTGTCTGAGCACAAAGCGGAAAGGGGACTGTCTCTGTTTGTGTTTATGCAAAGCATCCGCATTTTCAATGCTTTTCACATTTCTTTCGCATTTTACTTGCAGCAGGAGCAATTCGTTAAATGGTGCTGCATTCTTCTGCTTCCTAGACTCTGCAAGCATGTTCCCATCCCGCATCCTTCAACACAAATAGATTGGTTATATATGGTTATATATATATATATATCTGCCCGATTCACACGAGGTTCATAGCAGCCGTCCTGGAGGCAATAGCTGCTCGTCAGCAGCCAATAGAGTGCAGTTCCCAGACGACTGCTGTACTAGCAGAGCCAGCCATGGGAGATGGCACTGGTGGCCTCCACTCAGACCAACTCCATGTGAATGCAGTCTGGCAAATGCTCTCAACGATCATGTGGCTTGTTTGGGTAGTGACCGCTGTGGCGGCGGCCATGTCTTCGAAACGCAGTTTACAAGTCTTAGAAGAGCAGCAGGCGTCAAGACAGGACACTGAAGCCCAGATGGTGGGGGTTCCGGTACAGGACGAGCTCCCAAGCGGTACAGTCGTTGGAATCGCAACTCCATCCATCCAGGGCAACGGGGCTGATGGTGCAGGATTTCAGCCCACTGGACCCACTTTCCAGGGAATGCCTGTAGCAGGAGCTGTGGCTGATGGAGTTTGTCAGGGTATGCCAGTGCGGGACGAAGCTGGAAATGTCAGCCGTCCTGCGGGTAGTACCAAACAAGTCTAAGCAAATCCGGCGAGACTTCGCAGAGGAGATGCTTCAATGTCAAAATCAACGTTTCACAAGTGACCCAGATAGCAAAGAGCCACATCATTGATGGCATTGGAAAGAGTTGTGACAAAGCCTTGCAAACAAGTCTACCGTTACCGTTGTAATCCGTTGTAGCCATGGAGTCACACCGACATGACGTTGTTTTTCTTGCTTCTGCGAGTGAGCCCGAGAGAACCGCTGTTTGACATTTGGCTTATGCATCTCCAGCTGAGTTGTACCGCATGACGGAAGAAATTGGAAGAATCTGTTTTTTCTTGCCGCAGCCAGGCACACAGCCGACAGAAATACAGCCAGGCAAAGGTGTAAATTACATGACAGACAGCTTCAGGACCGCGGGACCAACGCAATGTCCTCTAGGCCCAGAGCGTTTTCATTGAGTGTCCGTGACTTACTTATGCCTACGAACAGAACATGTGGACAAGATATGACAAGATCTGAAATGCAAGGCGTCGGTGCAATCGATTCGAGCTCCTTGTTTGCTACGCCTGCTATGCTTTGCTTCTTTGTCCTATGCTCTTCGTTAATCCTCAATGCCCTCCGGAAGGTTATTCAGGTAAGTCCAGTCCATCGTCAAGGTATGCCTGCACGTATGAAACTTATGGATACCTTGTTTACCTTTGGTACGTTTTCCATCGTTTTCCATTGTCCACCCGGTCTACCCTAACCCTTGAAATGAGTCGTAAGTAGGGTGCAAAACTCCTCAGGTGGCAAGTTGAGTATGAAACTCAAACCGCTTTGCAAGGTCCGAGGTGGGTGCTCCTACGATTGTGGCTTGTTTGCCTCAAAACGATTCAAACAGCCTACCCTATACAGGCATTGTCGCTATTTCATTTGTTGCCTCCAATCTCATCCTGCCCCCGTGGTCTAGCTTGCTCGGGTGGACGCCGTCCCGGAAACTATTCCATCTTTTTTGTGTCACCCTTGCAGTCTCCGTCACGTATCTTTTTGCCTTTGGCCTGAACCCTCTATAGGAGTGACTTTGCGTAAAAGCCTACACGACGGGACAGATTGACACAGAAATTCACAGAACAAACATGCGATGAAGGCCCACGTATGTGTCGACAGGTCTGGATCGGGTACATGCTCACAATTTCGCCAAAGGAGTTTACACACACACACACTCACATCACTCACACACACGCACACACCGTCACACACCGATGAATGGATTGATGGATTGATGGATAGATGGATATATATATATATATATTACCCATTGATAAGTATGCGTGCGCATGCATTCGCATGCATATATGCCGTATACATATACACATGTCTTAACTGTGATTGTTAATTCTTGCCATTGTTATTGTCATTATCATTCCTTAATAGACCCGGGCAAGCCGGCGGCGGAAGTTTCCCAAACATAAATGACCTATAGTTCAAAGACAACCTGTCCCGACCGTGTCCTTCCCTCGACAACCGTTTGATTTTTTCAGCGAGAGACGAAGCAAAGTCTTCACACTCCACACTCCACACTTCACACTGCACTCTTCGCACTCCAAACTTGAAACTTCACACTCCACACTTCACACTTCACACTTCGCACTTCACAGTCCACACTTCACACTTCTCACTTCCCACTGCTTCCTTCACACTCCAAACCTCACACTTCACACTTCACACTGCGCGCTTCGCACTCCAAACTTAAACTTCACACTCCACACTTCACACTTCACACTCCACACTTCACACTTCTCACTTCCCACTGCTTCCTTCACACTGCACACTTCACACTGCACTCTTCACGCCCCACACTTCACACTGCTCTAATCCTACGTGCAACAAAAAACACTAGCGCCAAAATGGAGAAAATCTGCTAACAAATCCATTTCGCAGCCTTCATGCAGCCAGTCCAAGACGATTTACGAGATCCAGCTGCAAAAGACAATAGTATTACCAATGCAGCCACAGCACGAAGCAACCTTGACGCAGCCATTACAATGCGATCTGCAGAGACTGAGTTGCAAAACACAATAGAACTACGCGCAACGGCGTCGGAAATTGTAGCTCCAAAACCGGATCTCGACGCCAGAGCGAAAAAAAGACGATTTTGAAGCACTTTTTAAAAGGATTTTTAGAAGGAAAATCACTAGCGCCAAAATGGAGAAAATCTGCTGACAAATCAGTTGCAAAGCACAATAGAAGTACGCACAACGGCGTCGGAAATTGTAGCTCCAAAACCGGATCTCGACGCCAGAGCGAAAAAAAGACGATTTTGAAGGACTTTTTAAAAGGATTTCTAGAAGGAAATTCACTAGCGCCAAAATGAAGAAAATCTGCTGACAAATCACTGTGGCAGCCTTCATGCAGCCACTCCAATACGATTTACGAGATCCAGCTGCAAAAGACAATAGTATTACCAATGCAGCCACAGCACGAAGCAACCTTGACGCAGCCATTACAATGCGATCTGCAGAGACTGAGTTGCAAAACACAATAGAAGTACGCGCAACGGCGTCGGAAATTGTAGCTCCAAAACCGGATCTCGACGCCAGAGCGAAAAAAAGACGATTTTGAAGCACTTTCTAAAAGGATTTTTAGAAGGAAATTCACTAGCGCCAAAATGAAAAAAATCTGCTGACAAATCAATGTGGCAGCCTTCATGCAGCCACTCCAATACGATTTACGAAGTCCAGCTGCAAAAGACAATAGTATTACGAATGCAGCCACAGCACGAAGCAACCTTGACGCAGCCATTTACACTGCGGGAACGATCCTACAGTTGCAAATCACAATGGAATTCCATCGGCAACTCATCCACCAGCAACACTTGCAATCCCATTTACATTGCGGGAACGATCCTACAGTTGCAAATCACAATGGAATTCCATCGGCAACTCATCCACCAGCACCACTTGCAATCCCATTTACATTGCGGGAACGATCCTACAGTTGCAAATCACAATGGAATTCTGTCGACCGCAAATGCACGAAACACAGGTGAAACCCCATTTACAATGCGGAACCGATCCGAACATGATCCGACCATGTCTCGCCCCCGTCGCATAGATCATCGAGACTTTGTATGAAAAACATCGTGCATCTGCTATCTCGCACACGTGCGAGACAACGTCTTGCGCAACGATCGTTGCGGAATTCCATCAGCAACTCATGATCCACCAGGTTGCAATCCCATTTACATTGCGGGAACGATCCTACAGTTGCGAGGTTCGGGGACGGACTTTGTATGGAAAAACATAGGGTTTCGTGCATCTGCTATCTCTCAAAAACGCATTTCGTGCGAGACTTCCTTCAAAACTCCATCGGCAACTCATCCACCGACCGCACCGCTTGCAATCCCATGATTGCATTGACACACGAGACCGTCTCGCACGTCGCACCGCAGAGGTAGATCATCGAGGTTCGGGGACGGACTTTGTATGGAAAAACATAGGGTTTCGTGCATCTGCTATCTCTCAAAAACGCATTTCGTGCGAGACTTCCTTCAAAACTCCATCGGCAACTCATCCACCAGCACCAGCAACTCCTATTGCATCACAATGCCAGCACCACTTGCAATCCCATTTACATTGCGGGAACGATCCTACAGTTGCAAATCACAATGGAATTCTGTCGACCGCACGTGCACGAAAAACACTTGAAACCCCATTTACAATGCGGAACCGATCCGACCATGATCCGACCATGATCCGAGAATGATCCGACCACACACGAGACCGTCTCGCACCCGTCGCACCGCAGAGGTAGATCATCGACGTTCGAGGACGGACTTTGTATGGAAAAACATAGGCTTTCGTGCATCTGCTATCTCTCAAAAACGCATTTCGTGCGAGATTCCTTCAAAACTCCATCGGCAACTCCTCCACCAGCACCACTTGCAATCCCATTTCAGTGAGGGAACGATCCTAGAGTTGCAAATCACAATGGAATTCCATCGGCAACTCATCCACCAGCACCACTTGCAACCCATTTACATTGCGGGAACGATCCTACAGTTGCAAATCACAATGGAATTCTGTCGACCACACATGCACGAAAAACAGTTGAAACCCCATTTACAATGCGGAACCGATCCGAGCATGATCCGACCATGATCCGAGCATGATCCGACCACACACGAGACCGTCTCGCAACCGTCGCACCGCAGAGGTAGATCATCGAGGTTCGGGGACGGACTTTGTATGGAAAAACATAGGGTTTCGTGCATCTGCTATCTCTCAAAAACGCATTTCGTGCGAGACTTCCTCCAAAACTCCATCGGCAACTCCTCCACCAGCACCACTTGCAATCCCATTTGCAGTGAGGGAACGATCCTACAGTTGCAAATCACAATGGAATTCCATCGGCAACTCATCCACCAGCACCACTTGCAATCCCATTTACATTGCGGGAACGATCCTACAGTTGCAAATCACAATGGAATTCTGTCGACCACACATGCACGAAAAACAGTTGAAACCCCATTTACAATGCGGAACCGATCCGACCATGATCCGACCATGATCCGACCATATCCGACCATGACCCGACCACACACGAGACCGTCTCGCACCCGTCGCACCGCAGAGGTAGATCATCGAGGTTCGGGGACGAACTTTGTATGGAAAAACATAGGCTTTCGCGCATCTGCTATCTCTCAAAAACGCATTTCGTGCGAGACTTCCTTCAAAACTTGCCATCGGCAACTCCTCCACCAGCACCACTTGCAATCCCATTTACAGTGAGGGAACAATTTCTTTGACTAACTCGTTCCCTAACGAACTCTTTCTTTGCTCTTTTTTTGACTAACTCTTTCTTTGCTAACTCTTTCTTTGACTACCTCATATATCCTGACTAACTCTTTCTTTGACTAACTCTTTCCCTCACTAACTCTTTCTTTGACTCACTCTTTCCCTCACTAACTCTTTCTTTGACTAACTCTTTCCCTCACTAACTCTTTCTTTGACTAACTCTTTCCCTGACTAACTGTTTCTTTGAACTAACTCTTTCTTTGACTAACTCTTTCCCTGACTAACTGTTTCTTTGACTAACTCTTTCTTTGACTAACTCTTTCCCTCACTAACTCTTTCTTTGACTAACTCTTTCCCTGACTAACAGTTTCTTTGCTAACTCTTTCTTTGACTAACTCTTTCCCTCACTAACTCTTTCTTTGACTAACTCTTTCCCTCACTAACTCTTTGACTTTCTTTGACTAACTCTTTCCCTGACGAACTCTTTCTTTGCTAACTCTTTCTTTGACTAACTCTTTCCCTGACTAACTGTTTCTTTGACTAACTCTTTCTTTGACTAACTCTTTCCCTGACATTCTAAAAGTCCGTAACACGGAAGTTTCTCCCCCTAAACTTCCTTTGATCATTATTATTCTTATTCTTATCGTTCTTACTGTAGACGTACCCGTTGCCCATTGTTGCACAAATGCTCAGCTAATTAACTTGTGTAATTTCTGCCACCTTTCCGAGTTCTTGAGCTGAGGTTGTGTTTCTGCTTGTGCTGTCTCTTGGAGTGCTTAACAGGCCGGACTGATTGACCGGTCAGACCGAGACTTTGTTTTTTGTCCGGCTCAGTCTTGTCGGATTGAGCATCTCCAACACCCATTTGCAGGCACTGGATCAGTCCTCAGGCCCGGAAGTTCTTGGCATGCGTGCATGCATGCACACACACAGATAGATATATACATACATATATACTTATATATATATAATATGTCAATAATATCAATAATATCAATACATATCAACATTCTTGTGCATGTGTTTGATGCAGCTGTATGTCTCTATATTATATACTCTATATCTCTCTTCCAACCTAAAACCAGGTGTTGTTGTTTCCAAGAGGTTGTCTTGTGTCTTGCGTGGATTTTCCACAAGCAGCTTCTCTGTGCAAAGATCACCAGGATTCGGTTGGGTAGGCAGACGCCACTGTCACTTTGGAAAGCTCGGAAAACACGAGAAAGTACAAACTATATCAAGAAAAAGCCTCATGGAACAGTTGTTGTGATGATGTTGCCAAAAGCAAGCGTGCAGCATCTTCCCAAGACTGATGCTTTTATTAAGATTGACCTGCCTTGGGGCTTACCCACCTTCGCAGCGGACAGTTGGATGGTGAGCAGGAAATCTATTTTTTGCCGTCATGGCTCAAACAGATCACCTCCACCAAATTGCCTTGAAAGACATCGATGCTGAACCGTGGTCTTCTTTCGGTGGTGCGCCGGGCTGCATTCACCAATGGCGCAGCATATGTAGCATTACAAAATTTCTCGCCAAAGCCGCTGGCTACAAGTGCCATAATTTTTGGTGCTGCGAACGCTGTTGGGTTGGGAATTTCTGTTGCGACAGGGTCCCACTACCATCTTGATCCCATTGGGACTGGCATTTTCTCTGTTGCTGCAATTGGACTGCGTGGCGCACCAGGGGAGCTGCAACAGAATGTCAGTGCAGTTTGCATTTTTCTCTGGGCAGTAAAGCTTGCGGGCTTCCTGTTCTACAGAGCCCTTCTTACTCATACGGATGCTCGACTAGATGAGTTGCTCTCAAGCAATGCTGGAGCATTTGGCTTTTGGTTCATCTCATTTGCTTGGGGATGGATTGTATCGTTGCCTCATGCCTTAGCAGCTGGCGTGTCTTCCAGCATTCGGCCTCCTTTCCGTTGGTATGATGGGCTTGGCATTGGAATTTTTGCCGCAGGTTTTCTGCTGGAGACTATTGCTGATTGGCAGAAATGGCAGTTTAAGAAGGATCCATCCAGTCGTGGTAAGTTTTGTGACGTCGGTGTTTGGCAGTTGTCACAGCATCCTAACTGGTTTGGCAATTTCCTGCTCTGGAGCGGCATTTGCGCCCTGAATGCGTCAACTTTGGCTGCAGTGGGCCCACTTTACATTCTTCCCAGCCTGTTGAGTCCGCTTTTCTTGTTGGCATTGTTTTATGGTCAGGCCTGCGGTACCATCTCCAACACTGTCGAGCTGGCAAATGCCAAGCATGGCCATGATCCCGCGTACCAGGAGTACATAAAGAAAGTCCCAGTCTTCATGCCATCACCCAGCAGTATGCTAAGACTCTGTTGAGACTCTGAGAGCCAAGCTTAGCACATTGTATAGCTGTTATTATGTCTCACCGGCCTTGTTGCTGTCCAGAGCCCGTCAGCTTGTTGGATTTGCTCAAAAGGATTTGGGATATTTGGGCTTGCAGTGGGTGCAGTGAGCTGAAGCAATGCTGCACAGGAATGTCTTTAAGAATGAAGTGCAACCTGCTCTAGGTCTTCACAGGCCTGCATGTTCCTGGTTCTCACAGAACTTACAGGCTGGATGGCAATGATCCCATAATCCCTGGCAAGGTTTGACGTGATCCATTCAAATCTGTATTAGAATCAATGCCCAGGCCAGGGGCAAGCCATGCAAGGACAGTTTATTTTTTGTTCACTTGGCTTGGTGCGCTCTGACATTCTCTGACGCTCAGCGCATTAGAAGGAAATCTGTGGCTGCTGCTGCAGAGAGCTGTTTGTCGCAGTTGCTCGCCGGCAAAGCCTCTTTAGCTAAGAAACTCCAAGGTTGAAATGTGGTGCTGTTCGTTGTTCTGGTCAGTGTCATTTGAGGGGCCTCTGAGGCTTGCGAAAATGACCACGCTGTCGATTGACACGGGTGACCTTTCCGTCATCCAGGCTGTGCTAGATTTTGCGCGCAGTTTCCACCTTTCATATTGCAGATTGATGCAGATTGGGAAATTTACAGGAGTACGCCGAGACCGGACTCATCACAGATGCCACAACGTGACTTGTGCAGCAAAATGATGCAAAATGGTTTGCTCTCAGGTGACATCAGCTGACACTACACTTTCCAGCCGAATAAATATACAGTGGTCTGCCACTGCCAGCCTTGTCAATCGTGAAGCTGCCTTGCAAGCACGCATAGCCATCTTGCACACGCACACACATGTATATATATATATACATACATACATACATGATATGCTATGACATGATATGATATTAGCTTATTATATATATATATATATTAGACTCTTAGACTATATTATATATACCAGTAGTACCGCACAAGGCGGTGGCGGAAGTTTCAGAATAGGAAACCTATAGGAGACGTTGGTTGTTGTGAATCACGGATGGCAGAGCGAATCCACTGATTGACCGAAAGGTGGTTGGAGTTGTGTTTGCTGGAATGGTTGCAATGGTTGCAGTGGTCACCTCACCCACAACTGCTGGATGTAGTGTGATGTACTGCAACTGTAGTTGTAGTTGTAGCGTAGTGGAGTTGTAGTTGTGGTGTAATGTAATTAGTGTAGTGTAGTTGCAGTCATATAGTTGTAGATGTAGTTGTTTTGTAGTTGTAGTTGTTGTAGTTGTAGTTGTTGTTGTAGTTGTAGCTGTAGTTGTTGTGTGGTTGTAGTTGTTGTGTAGTGTTGTAGTAGTAGTAGTAGTTGTTGTTGTTGTTGCTGCTGTAGTTGTAGTTGTTGTAATTGTAGCTGTAGTTGTTGTAGTTGTAGTCCTAGTTGTAGTTGTAGTTGTCGTGTAATAGTAGTAGTAGTAGTTGTTGTTGTTGTTGTTGTTGCTGTTGCTGTTGTCGTCGAAGTTAGGGTAGTTAAGTTAGTGAAGTTGGTTAAGTTAGTCAAGTTGGTTAAGTTAATCAGTGTCTACTTTTTCGACATCTTCACGTCAAAAAAGGCTCAAAACCCTCAGTTTTTTACACTTTTGACTTCGAAATGTGCTTCGCGCCACAACGGCGTGCACTTTTTCGACACTTTTTCGACATCTGAACCTCCAAAAGTGGTCCGAGACCGTCAGTTTTTAACACTTTTGACTTGGAAATGTGCTTCGCGCCACAACGGCGTGCACTTTTTCGACATCTCAACTTCCAAAAGTGGTCCGAAGCTGAGGTGTTTTGTACATTTTGACTTGGAAATGTGCTTCGCGCCACAACGGCGTGCACTTTTTCGACATCTCAACTTCCAAAAGTGGTCCGAAGCTGAGGTGTTTTGTACATTTTGACTTGGAAATGTGCTTCGCGCCACAACGGCGTGCACTTTTTTGGCATCGCAACTTCCAAAAGTCGTCCGAAGCTGAGGTGTTTTGTACCTTTTGACTTGGAAATGTGCTTCGCGCCATAACGGCGTGCAATTTTTCATCGCTCCTGTGACCAGCTGGCTCCGCACCCGCCGCTTTAGCGAGCCTACTTTTCGACCCTCCTGAGCCACAAATCATTGGAAAAACACAGTGTTTCGCGACTTTCCTACCTTTTCGCGCATCTGTATCTTCTTTCTTCTGACTCTTTCTCTTCTCATCTTCTCTCTTCTAATCTTCCTCTTCTCTCTGCCTCTCCCCTACTCTGCTTTTCATCTGTCCATATTGTCGGAAGTTTGACTTCTAAACTTCCTTCGATCATGTTACATTTTTATATTATATTTGTACAATATTGTAGTAGATTTTATTGATATCTAGTATTATAAGTTGTATGAGCTTGCATATGTATATATATATATATTTATCTATTCCATGTATACCTAGATGTATTTTTTTAGTCCCGTCTTCATTGAACACATTCAAAGCTCCTACACGCTCACAGTATGCCGCACTGGAGAAGTTTAAGGAACCCTCTCTTCGTTAGCAAAGCTGGCCTCAGCGGAGATCCGGTGGAGAGCTCTGTCATTGGGCTCGACTCAGCTCGACTCAGCGAGTTATTGCACATGAAAGACATGAAAGACATGAAAGACATGAGTCAACGCGAGTCATTCATCTTGGATCATCTTGGATCATCTTGGAATCCTTGACACGAAAGCAGACGAACGCCAGAAGCGCCAAAGTGCATCGAATGAAAGGGCGAAGGGAAAGCTTTGTGGCAGGTTTACGTGGCCTTTGTAGAAGATGCGCCTGTCTCTTAGTCAAACAAGGAATTCAAAGATATTGATACAGGCCAGGTCAGTGCAAGGCAACACTGGCCACAGCCGTTTTCAAACCAGTTTTCAAATTCTATCGACTTTATCTAATTTGCATTCATCTACGTTTTGCAGCATAGGGACTGGCCACCGAGGATAGCTTATGCGCGCAAGTCCGCTTCAACGGAGGATGATATTGTTGAATTGGCCATGGACAAGTTGGCTGTTAACCTGGGTGTAGTCAACTCCTCAGGGCCATATTTGCCTTCAAATGAGGTGTTCATGTGATCACAGTTCGTTCAGTCTGAGGCCATTTCAAAACTGGTTCCTGGATACATTTCCACGGAGGTCACTGCTTGCTGACATGCTCTGGGTATCTCTGGGTTATGTCATTGAATGTCATTGCTGTCGCTGCAGGTTGACCCTCGCTTGAGTTTCAACAAAGCAGAGAGCTTACTTTAAAGATCTTTTGAGACCCCTCTGGACACACACAGATGATGATAACAAAGCTGCCAGATGAGAACAGCAGTCAGGAAGAAACTCTTCGACGAGCTCGACGGATTATCGTGCTTGCCTCTGAAATCAAAACAAACGTGCCACACCCTTGAAGGTCCTTGGGTGTGGCCCGAAAATGGGGCACCAGTGGACCACAGAATTGATCATGCGTAGTACTCAACTTACTGAACCAGCATTTTTTGGGGGTCAATGAATGTTGGAACATGATTGAACATGGTGGAAATGATTGAAATATGATGAGACCTGGCTAAGGCCCTCTACGAGGAAGCCGGCATCGCCCGAAGCAGGGCAGCAGCCTAAAAATAGCCTATAGAACGACAACCTGTCGAGCTTCCATATTTTTCTCTGGACGGCCTTGATGGGCCATGCAGCAAAGCGCACAAGATTGCGGAAGGAGATTTTTCAGCGAGAGTGCAGCGGGCTTCAGGTGCTGATTAAGCTGGCAGCCACGTGGGAAGGCATTGCAGCCATGAAGGAGTTGGAAGCAGAGGCTTGGAAATTCAGAACCGCAGTGGAAACTACAGACATCCGGACACACATGGACTTTGGGTGTCATTGAACGGGCATCTTAGGAGTGGCTCCAACTTAGCCCTATGGTGTTCCTTTGGAATGCATGTCCATTTACCTCATCGATATCCCAAGGGAATAGACGATCTCAGATCTCTGGTATGGTTGCCTTCTTGCCACGATCAAACCCAAGATGACATCGAGCTCAGGCCTACAAATCAGCATGTAACAGCATCATTGGTTTATTTTTTTGCTCACGTCAAATGTTACCCCCACAATGAGTGGCATGAAGCAGAGTCTATCGGAGCAGCTTTGGCATCTCCAATTCACAGGGACCTTCCTCTTTGGATCTCATTAGTTTGTCGCCTTTTGATGCACTGAAAGGTGCCATACAGCACAGCTGGTGGTCAATCCAACCCCTTTTCCCTTCGTGTTCACTTTCGCTCATGAAATGTACCCTGAGTATCCCTGAGCAACAGGAAAGAAATGTGCAAACACATACAAGCACACCAAAGCACACCAAAGCACACCAAAGCACACCAAAGCACACCAAAGCACACCACAAGGTGGCAAGTTCCTGGTCCAAAAAGGCACCTATCTATCCTATGCCATGCCATTTTGTCCATCTCATCCTATCCTGTATATACATATATTTTTTCCGGGTGAGCCCGACAGATTCGGGAATTGAAAACACCGCTACAAACATCAGTGAACTGTATGCTGGAACCAATCTTCAAGACGACACCCATAGGGCATCACCTGCAACATGACCCTTGTGTTCGGCTTTGTGGCGGTCTCAGCATCTCCGTTCCAGCCAGTTTATTTCCAGTGGTCAGAGCCGGGGCAGTCTTGGTTCACAAGGCCCAAGCGGTTGCCGCTGCTCAGCCAGAGACTCAATGATGTGGCACATAAAAAGGCACCGGAGCATAGATCTTATGCGTCTTAAGCATAGTGAATTCAGTCTGGATGGCCGTAAATGTATTGGATTGTATTGGATGGCCATGTATTATATGTATTGGTGTGCCTTCCGGGCCTGTGCTCATTTCGTGGCTGAGCTCTGTCCTCAGCAACCAGCAACCGCTGCTAGGTATGGGGCGCATCTTATTTCACCTTTTCCTGGTCGCGTGTTGGACTTCCAGAAAAAACTCTCAGGCCCGGGGTTCTGATCACGGAGAAGAACAATTTGGATCAAATTCATGTTTCTTGAATCTTCTAGACACTTATTTAATTACCTTCGGCAAGCCCGCCGGCCATAGAGAGGTGGCCCCAAGGGAGTTTGATGTGCATTCTAGGTGGAAGCCCGCGAGAGAGCAGAAGAGAAAGGAAGGAGAAGAAGAAGAAGAATAAGAAGAATAAGAAAGGAAGACGAAGACAAAGCCGTAAAACGGAAGCGGCTTGTGTAGCAAGGTTTGCTGTAACAACCTATCGACCGTATACCAAATTAGTACCGCCCCCAGCAAAGTAGCGCCAGGCACTATGTATGAGCCTCTGGCTTGACAGCAGACCCCTGCATGGAAGGAGGCAGGGGTGAGATTGCCCCAAGGGAGGTTGACGTGCACGCTAGGTGGAAGCCTGAGAGAAGAAGAGACGAAGACAGAGCCGTAGATCAGAAGCAGCTTGAAGAGCAAGTGCGTGCTTGAACAACCAATCGAACGCGTACCAAATGAGTACTGGTTGATCGGTACCGTGTGCGTCCTGTGACGAGCACCTGTAGACGACGGTAACGCTGTAGGCGTCAGAGTAGGCGTTGGAGTAGGCGTAGGAGTAGGAGTGGTAGTGGTGGTAGTGGTGGTGGTGGTAGTAGTAGTAGTAGTAGTAGCAGTACTACTACTACTACTACTGCTACTGCTACTGCTACTGCTACTGCTACTGCTACTGCTACTGCTACTGCTACTGCTACTTGCTACTTGCTACTTGCTACTTGCTACTTGCTACTTGCTACTTGCTACTGCTACTGCTACTGCTACTGCTACTGCTACTACTACTACGACGACGACGACTACTACTACGACTACTACGACTACTGCTACTAGTACTAGTACTACTACTGCTACTACTGCTACTACTACTACTAGTACTACTAGTACTACTAGTACTACTAGTACTACTAGTACTACTACTAGTACTACTACTGCTACTGCTACTACTACTACTACTAGTACTACTAGTAGTACTACTAGTACTACTAATACTACTACTAGTACTACTAGTGCTACTAGTACTACTACTAGTACTACTAGTGCTACTAGTACTACTAGTACTACTAGTACTACTAGTATTACTACTAGTACTACTAGTACTACTAGTACTACTACTAGTACAGCAAACAATGCGCAGCAAGAGAACAAAGGAACAAGCAGAAGCCAAAAACAGAAACAAGAACAACGTCTTCCAATCAGACACGCCGGCAGGCCGGCGGATTTCATATATTTTTATATGTATGAAATGGATCTTGTGAGTATGAGGCCAAGATGCTTGGAAGCCAGAAGAGGAGCATCCGCTGACAGTTTTTTCAGAGGCTCAGCTGTGGCCTTGACTTTGGTGACAGGACCCCGGCGTCGTGGCAGTGCGGCGCATGCACCCCATGACACAGGGTTTGAAGATTTTGGAGCACGATGCAGATGGACACAAAAGGCCCTTAACTTCACTGAATCTCATGAAACCTCAGCATTTGCATTTGTGCTTTCCGCAGACATATTTTTTGTATTGGCAGTAGGCCTTTATTCTATGTACATTATCATTGCACAGATGGATCTATCAGAAGGTATTCAAACCCACCACATGATCACAACAAGACGCTGTTTAGATTTGTAACTTAGATGCCGGCGCGCCGTTGGATCTGAGCTACTGTTGGCTAGGGACTTAGCTTGTCTTGGGAGAGGGGGGTGCGTGACAGTTGCCATTGGACATGAAACACCAAGAGCATTGTCTTGTCAAATTCTTGCACTAGGACTTGGTTGCATCATGCGCTCGCGCTCTGCAATTTTGCTCATCGACGCTCGGCTGTCGTAGTCGTGGCGTTCCTGCTGTACCACGCTGTACCACATAGAATCTCTTAGACTCATCACAGTTCAGCAGCGCAGGCCTTGAACTAGCATGAACTAGCGTTGTTTTGAGGCAGCCTGTTTCTGCTACATTGCGCTGCAATCAACCTTCAATTTTGCATCCGTGGTGCAAGTGCAAAAGCCACGCGTGGCTTACATTGCAGTGGTTGATGCCACTTGGTTAAAACTTGCTAAGGCTTGCTCGAACTGCATGGTTCAAGTAGGCTGACATAGTTGAGATCTCCGCAATGCATACTGCAGCCAGCCCAGGTGAACGTGAAGGAAGGACAGGAAAATGAATTTTTGGAGGCACTACTCACTTCTGACTGAATTTTGATCGTTTGATTCAAGAGGCTGAGAATTTTGAAGGACAAGAACATGTTGCACCAAGAAGCATTGAAGACTCCCAAGGTGTATTCCAGACTTCTCAAGGTAAGAAATGATAATTGGATGTTCTAAGCTGCTTTGCAGCTTGAAAGGATAAGTGCTCCTTTTGACAAACATACCATTGTTTGCAAGTTATGTAAGTGTTCTTCAAGTGTTTCCGGCAGCTATTTGTGCGAAGTGGTGAGGAAGGATTGTTAAGAAGTTCAGAAGTGTCCTTGACATTCCTTGTAGGCCTTGTGGGATACTTTTGAGATGCATTTGAGATGCATTGACGCTGGAATTTTTGCATGTCATTGAGGGTCACCTCACTGTGACTGCAGGCGTCGCTGAAAAACGCCAGAGCCTCCACAGGTGAAGACTTGAACCAGCGCTTTGACGTTTTGCAAAAGAGCAACTTGGACAAAGGACACGGGGCTAAAGGCTAGCGCGGCGCGGCTGGCGGGCCTACCAGAGTAAGGCAACCCAAAAGACAAGGACAACGTATATTATACTGTAAGACAAAGTACAAGAAAGTAAGACACAGTGGATCAAATGCCAGGCTGTGCAGGCGCTGGGCCATTTGATTCAGAAGACTAGTTCCATCAACTTGCAGCACTTCAAGCTTGGGGTGTCACATGTCTTTTTTGGAGCGGCAGCATGCTAGATCTGCACATTTCGATACATTTTGAATGCACTGCGCGAACATAAGGAGATGACCCCAGCAGTTTCGCCCTCGTTGAGATCTACAGGACCAAGCCCTGCACCGTTAGCAATCTCCAATGTCTTGCTAGGTGGAACATGTTATTCTTGCTTTCGCACACATAACGACAGAGCACATGCACGACGGCAGATATGTATATTATACATAATGCTTGTAGAAGCCACAGCTAGGGATGTGGTGCGCAGCGACCCGGGGACTGAAGAGTCAAACTGGGCGGTCAATTTTGCTCCCGAAAGCCAGGAATGCGAACGGCCCTGCAGACCACAAAGGAACTGAGCACTACTTAACCTGGCGCGAGAGTGTCGCAGAGATGATGGAAACGCCCAGGACGATTTTCAGTAAATATCAGTAAGTGACAAACTTCTTCCGCAGTTCCTTTTGGCAGTCTCTTGCTTTGTTGGAGGAGCGCAAGCCAGTGGGAAACCATCTTCCCTGGCAAGGCCTTACAGTGTCAACCTGAACTTTGAGATGCGGAGAGTTTGTTTGAGTGATTGGTCAGAGCGAATGCACGAGGCATCCGACTACCGCTCCTCAGCTGTCATCCTTGAACGATCCCAGGCGGTAGACAGACTGTTGATTGGAAGTGGCTTTAAGTTTAAGGCTTTCAAGAGGTAAAGGCTTCACAAACCTTGGCGAACCATCTGAGCCCGGATGAGCCAGAGAGAGAGAGAGGACGTTTCCAGGAGTGGTTCCCACAGAATTCTTCTAAGAAACAAGATGCGAGCAGACAACTCAAGCAGGTCTTGGTGCTGATCCCCTGTTTTGTGAACGACTTCTGAACTGTATTCCCACTTGTTAGGTGTCTGTTTTGGGGTGAATGTCGATGAAGGTCGATGAACGATAGAAAACATCACAGCACTGCGTCTTCTGCAAGCTAGGGCGCAGCTGACGTGGATGTCACGCACGTGTTCGTCAGTGTGAAGCCAGGGCGAGAAGAGGTTGGGAATGGCTGGGATGCTCGGACATGCACGGCCTTTCCGACGGGAAATTGACCCCCAGGAGTTCAAGAAGGCGACACGCGAGAATGCCATGCAGTCGGCAAGGGCCCCAGTCGGATTGAGAACTTTCTTTATGATCTTATTAAATGATCTTTGTGATGTGTGATTTTTATGAAGATTAATTGCGGTCTCCAGGTGAAAGAATGGGGCAATCTCCGCTTCGACGTTTTGGAGAATGTTGAGGTCCCTACAGAATTCCTCCTGATTGAAGTGTACAGGCTGGATGCGGCTAAAGCATTTTTTAAAATGTCCTAACTGTAGGGAATTTGCAGACGCATGTCGACTCTCTGTCTTGAAATCCTGAATTTTGTCTGGCCTCCGTGTCAGAGTGGCAACTGAAGGACTGCTGCAGATGCAGCCCAGCACAAAGAGACGAAGCACTACTTGGAGTGGAGGCAAATGCTTGAAAAAGACGGTGTGGCCCAACATTCTTCCTTTTGGGCCAAAGATCCGACATGCTGGACACGTGAGTAGCGTGAGTTGTCACCGCGCAAAAATGACGAAAGACCGAGACATTCTAAAGGAACTTTTTGAAGTTTCTTTGAGTGCATTGTCTTTTGATAATATCTCTATCTATAATGATCTATTATTGGAAGTTTTCAAACTGTAACTTGTGGGGCAAAGAGACTTGAATGCGAGATTCTAGGCTCAGCGTGGCAGGTGTCTGATTTAGATACCGGTGGGCGGCTGCCATGTTCCGCATGACGCGGTTGGTTTTATGCACAACATTTTTCACATACAGACGCTTGTATACACAGATGATGCCTTTATACGGAAAACGAATTGCACACAGAAACTTGTGCACACAGCGCACTTTTACACGCAACTAACTTTTACACGGGGAGGTTTTGCTTCCCCTTTTTGATCACCTACCTTTCGTGTTCCCCCTCTCAAGATTTTTTTTTTAAATTATTACCATTAACATTATTTCCATCATTATTATCAGTGTCAAAAAATTAAGATAAATATAAATATAAATAGATTATATATATATCTTAAAAGGGAAAGGACATCAGAGGACTATTCCAGTCGGTCAGGAGCACGGTGGAGGACATGATGGCCAAACCAAGGTCAGCAAAGAAATATGCACGGAACCATAGCGTGTTGTTTTCAATCAGGATGCTTCAAACAAGTTTCTATATTTTGTTTCTTGGAACTTGCGATGCTCCTGAGGTCACTCATTTCCCTAGCGTCCCTGCTGCTTGGAAGGTGGCTCCAACGGTTGTGGCCTCAGAGCGGCACCAAAAAATTTCTCGGTGCCACGGCATGCGGGTGCTTTGCTCAGGTTTATTGAGGCCTTCTGAGCAATCTGTCCTGATCTGTGAGAAAAAACTGGCGGATTTGCACAGTGCAGATCAGGAACCCTTCCCAGATGGTCACCACAGCTGATTGATGACTCATGAAATCTGATGAAAACACGGGTTGGAATCCCAGGTACGCCTACTACAAGCGTTATGGTCACGACACGATTTGTATGCCAGCGAGCTGGCGACCTTCAAGGAACGGGTTTGATTTTTATGGTTCCATGACGGTAGGGGTTTTACATCAACAGACCAGTCGGGGTGAAACGTGTTCAGGTTTGTTGAACTCGGTTGAGTTCCGTTGAGTTCCGTTGAGTTTTGTTGAGTTTTGTTGAGCATACTGAGCGTGTTTGTTTCCTGTCTGTTTTGCTGAGTTGTCTTGAGGGGAGCTGGCTATGACCTGGATGAAATCGAGGCACCAACAACTTCAGACTTGCTCTTCAATGACATGAAGAGTAGAAACAAAATTCCAGTACAGCACTGTCCTCCTTGTCTTTCGGCAATGGTTTCAGATGTTATGTGGATGTGATGGATTTGACTGGCTAGAAAACTAAATGGCGCTATAGAATACTATAGAACCCCTTCTCTGCAGTTTTTTAGCGACAAAACAAACTTTTGGTCAATACCCAGCAAAGATGCATGACTTGCTCTGTGTTATCCGTATTTTGTGGCCATGGATGAAGTCATTGCCAGAGTGAAAGGACACAGAGATACTCTTCTCTCTGGCAGCGAATCTCAAATCTCTGAGGCATTGGCAGCACTGACTGCACTTGGAAGTTTGCCCGAGCAGGTCTTAGGAGAGACCTTTGTTGGACTCGCAGTCGACAAAATCAGCAAAGATGCGACCCTGCCCGAGCAGCTGAAGCGCTCATCTCGAGAACTTCTTAGATTTTGGCAGGACAGCCTTCACAGATGGAAGGCAATGACTACGACCTCATCCGACCGAGAACGCTCTCCAAGCCTGGACGTGGCCGCAGTTCCACACTTAACCAAGCAACGGGAAAAAGTTATGGAAAAGCTGGCGGAGGCCTTGTCGACTGCAGCTGTTCGCCGAGAATTTAGTGACAGACAGTCCGACAAAAACTCTTCTGGATCTCCTGGATCTCTTGGATCTGGATCTGCCTCTCTGTGGGCTTCGAAGCCTTTGAAGCCCTCTCTGGTTCTCGCAGCTGAAATTGAAGGTGTGTTGCACAGTCAGCTTGAGGGTCGAAAGTATGTGGCCCAAGCGAGATCATTGCTTTACAACATCAAAGATGCCTCCAATGTTGAGTTTTGCAGAAGTTTACTTGAAGGAGACTTTGACATTCGCCAGTTGCCTTCTCTTTCTGCGGAAGACATGGCAAGCTCCAGCCGGAATGCAAGAAGAGCGCAGGTGCGAAAAGAAGCCTTTGAGGCTGCCGCAGTACGGCCTGCAAGCCACACGGTTACGGACAAGTTTGTGTGCGAAAAGTGTGGCAGCAACAAAACTGCCTACACACAAAGTGCTGCAGTAGAAAGCTGTGTGCGCTCCGGCGGTGAGCCAGTGGAAACCATGGTGACTTTTGTGACATGCCTTGCCTGTAGCAATGCCTGGACAGAACGAAGTGGTTTTGCATAGCTGCGAAAAGGCAATGGTATGGAACAGCGATGATCAAATAAGGCCAAAGACAACTACCGAAGACCCTGAAGTCGTTCGATGAGCGGCTCCACAAGAAATGCCTGCTCGAAAGGATCTGATCACCCCTTCAAGATGCATGTGGAGATTTGGAACTTGAGCGAGAGCAGGTTGTTCAACAAAAAGGGGCCTCCAAACGATCTCCGTGTAGACAGTCATGGCAAAAGACTATGAAAAGGCTTTAAAACGGCCTCCTCTCACACCCAGCTGCACCGAAAGAAAGAGTTGAGGATGGCCAAATCGGACCAGATGTGCTGCGTTTATTTAATCATTTTTTTTTGCGGTTTTTGTTGGAGTTCATGTTCTGTCTACCCTTTCTGTGGGCAGCACGCAACTTAGTCTTTTGATGTCTTTTGGGACGTTTTGGGAGGCCTTGGCAGGTGTGGATCGCATGACTATCCCACCAGGGCCTGGCACCAAGCAGCTTGCGTTGGTTCTTGTTTGCTCAGATCTCAATAGTCACTATAGTCACTATTTGATCTATTTTGATCTATTGAATCTATTTGGACTATTTGGTAGAGATGGATAGAGTCAGAGCATCTATCTTCAGGCCACCCATTTGACAGGATTTCTGCAGTTTGACTCCGCTTTTGAATTGTTGAGCTTTCAAAGCCCAGGCTTCTCGAGCAGCTTGCAAAAGGCGACTACGCCTTGGAGAGGACCCTGCCCATGCCCTGCAATGATTGACTGTGGTGGGGATTGCGAAAGGGTCACAGAGGAGTGGAGAAAAAAGTGTTGTTGGAATACGGTTGCGCTCCGATGTAGCATGTGGGACTCGGGACAGTCATGGGACCGATGTCTTGTGAAATGTGGACAGTAGATGTAGTAAAATGTCCCTTAGAATTCGCACAGTTGGAGTATGTTGCACTTAGATTTTTCAACGGGTGCTGAGGGTTCTAAAGGAGGATCCCTGAAAGGTCTCCACGAGAGCACTTTGCGGCAAGTTACTCCATGTATTCTGCAAGATCTGCAATAGCAATGGTCATCAGTGGTCTATTTCACCATGGAGTGGCCCGAGAGGTTGTACAAAGCCTACGGCAAGAGTATTCCACACAATGGTCTTTGACCAAGCTATTCCAAGGGAGTGCCCAACAGAACTCTGTCCAGAAGGGCGGTGTAGAAAGGTGGAGAAGGATGTAGAAAGAATGTCACGAAAGCTAGCTTTTGCAGGCTGAAGTCCCCTCTTGCTTTAGCAAGGAATTGGCGCGCTGGAATCACCAATCGCATGAAACTTCACCCCCCTCCCCCTTCGTGGCTTTTTCACAAGCAGTTTTGCCATAGCTCCGTCCTTTCTCGGGACATCGTCGCTGTATCGTCGCCATCAGCATCAGCAGCGTCATCAGAATCAGCAGCATCATCATCACGCACCGCTCGTTGGCCACACCTTCCTCCCTCTCCCTTGACCCTCCCAGCTAGCTTTCGTCCCTTACCCCTTTGTCTCAAGTTCTACTAGAGTGTGTCGTCGGAAAAGATGGAACCAAGTCTTATTAAACAGGTTTCTGCTAGCACCTTCTAAGGAAGTGCTTGTCAAGAGTGCCACAGAAAACAACTGTGCTTCAAGGCATTTTCCTACGCTTCGGAGGATTATTATGCAGCAGTTTCACGTCCGGGTCTCTTTTTGGAAAATTTTCTAACCCTGACCGAGTGTCGGTGGTGCAAACAGATCACTCCATGGTGTCAGAAAATGTTGAATACAAATCGTTTCGGCAATCTGCTAGCTGCTTGGCGCAAGTTCAACTCCATGCCGGCGGGGAATCTTCCCATTGTCCCAGCGCACCAGCGCTTAGCAGAAGAAGGCAATGGCAATGGCCGAATTGGCCATCAGATTCTCGCTGCCGCCTTCGAGTCTGCAGCTCAAAATGGACACTGGGTGTATCAATGACAGTCCAACCCCGAACGGGTGACACTGTGACATGCTTTCAGATGGATTCCCTGAGTCAAATCACATCTCAAGATATCTCAAGCACAAAAGGACGCATTGCGTGGCCGAAGCTTTGCATCCAAGGTCGTTCTCACTGTCGCCGGCAGTCTCGCCTGCTGGCATTCCGGCGGACGCCGGCCTTCCATTGACAGTTTTTTGGCCGAAGACCGAACCATCCCATTGCCACAGCCAAGATCAGCCAAGATCAGCCAAGCATTTTTGAATTTGCCTGGTTTTGTCATGTTTTGTCATGCTTTGTCCATGTTCAAAACCCTGGCCTGTTGCTCATGTGTCGACCAAGGTTAAGAACACTTTTATAGATGTGGCAGATGAGGAGTCTCCAGACTCTATGACTTCCTTCCATGATGGGGCCAAGACATGCACTGCCCGCATGTCGGACACTGCTTCTCCTGCAAGATTTTTCGTGTCTCATGACGCTCGGGCCTTAATGACATGAGCGCGCGCACACACACACAGGTGGAAGAAACATCCTTCTTGCAAAGCCCCAGCCAATCTGCAAAACTTACTGCCAGACGCCTTGAGATTGTGAAGGGGGCTGCTTTTCATTCCCAGGCCTTTGGAACAATATATAATTTATTCATATGTCATATTTATTCATATACTGTGAAACAACAACAAGCATTAATTAACAAGTGTTGACAGCAGACCGCCACCCACACTTTGTGAAGAGTTCGGGAGCATTTTGATTTGGGTTTCATTTCTTGTGGTGCTGTCATTGCTTTTTCAATCAGAATTCTAAAAAAACTCTTGCCAAGGAAAGTGGCCCTGGCAGGGACGAGGAACATCAGGATGCAACAGGCAAGGCTGCTGTCCACGCGTTGGTTTCGGAAAAAACCCAACACACCCGTGCCATCCTTTACCTATTTATAAGAGAAAAATGATAAGAGCAGAAGCAAGCACTGAACATGTTGGGATGCCGGCATGCACAGATGCATCAAGACCCATGCGCACATTTGGGCTTGTGCACGCATGATTCTACGCGTAGATGCTCACATAGCCTGACCCTCTGCAATTTACGCTAAAACCTCTGTCCCGTCGCAGGAAGTTCTTTGATGTGTCCCAATGCGCCACCATCACCAGCGTCCCCAACAGAAGAAGATCAGGGAGACCCACCTCCACCTCCTCAGCACCTCGTGTCAGCAAGAATCCATTCTGGTTGCTAAATCAATTTTAATTTTGTTGCTATAATTTTACGTTTCAGGAACATTTTGGCATTTGTTCAGCCGCAGGGGGCCAAAGCCTCTTCTACAGGGTGTGTAGTTTGCCAAGGATCAGCCCCTCTCATCTTGGGCGGCAGCTCCTGGGTTTGGCGCTCAACGCCCCTGAAAACATACAACATCCACCCTCAGAAGGTTCTCGGCTACACGGGCTTTTCGATGAGGACAGGTTCAAGACGGGCAGGGTTCGAGGAGTGTTATGGATGGTTATAGCGGCTATGAGGGGATGGGCTGGGAGCCACTGAGATGAGAAGTTTTGCAATAGCAAAATCGACAGGAAGGGCTCCCAGCATGCCAGCCATGCGTTGCTTGGCTGCAGCCAATGCCATTATATAGGGTGGCATTGTTTCACAACAGCACCAATGTTTCTTTTTGCTCTGTTTTATCATTTCTCCCCTCGCTGAGGCATGGTTCCACAAGAAGCCAAGTGGATGTATAAACGGTCAAGCGTGCAAACGCTGCCACCTTTGCCCAGAAGGAGAGCCGAAACTAAGAAAAAAACAGCTCCATGGATTGAACAGAAGTGTGCCAAGCGGAGGTGGTGACAGTTCCGTTTGTGCATTCGTTTCATCAGGAAAGACACATAAGAAGTATACAGAACATCAGTTTGCTTTCTTGGCTTTCTTTGCAGGTGCTGGTGTTGTTGTATGTTGGTTGTTGTGTGCGCACAGCATCGGGCTTCACTGCAGTCAATGTAATACATCCTCCATGTCCTTGACAACCACTGGCAGCTCTTCAAAGCAATTGAGAGCTGACAGCTAAGGAAAGTTGCCCGTTTGCGCCAGCAACAGGCTGAAGCGGCAAATCGGGAAGCTGTTCAAGCGCAGGCCCAAGCACAAGCGCAAGCTCAAGCTCAAGCCCAAGCGCAAGCTCGAGCGCAAGCTCAAGCGCAGGTGCAAGCGCAAGCGCAGGTGCAAGCGCAGGCGCAAGCGCAAGCGCAGGCGCAAGCGCAGGCGCAAGCACAGGCGCAAGCGCAGGCGCAAGCGCAGGCGCAAGCAGCACAGGCAGCTGCTCAGGGCGTGCAGGCAGGGTTTGGGAGTGCATATTCCTGCTCAGCAATTGGAAACAAGCCGTCATGCTAGTGTATAATAGCCCATGAGATTCCATGGGCTACCCGAACAGAGGTGGAGTAGTGAGTAGTCCAACATACTTTCAACATGTCTCAACTGAAAACACATATTCTAAAGAAAGTCTAAAGACGTGTTCCTGCAGATTGGATGCGCGTCAAAATTTGTCTTACAGAAAGTAGTTTACGACTGTTGCGACCCCTCCCTCAGCCCCTGTGCCAACTCAAACGATGTCAGGGCCAAGACGCGTCCGCGAGAGCTGCTGATGCAACTAGAGGCAGGGACAGAACGAGTTCCATGTTGTGGCATGATTGTGAAATGATGCGTTGGTCATACTTTGTACTATTTATGTACGTATAGCTAACTAGTTGCCAACGGCGCTGCAGGGCGCCTGGGTGTTTTTTTTGGTGTTCATGTGCCTGATGATGTCACGTTGATGATGGGGTGGGTCGGGGTGGGGTGGGATGTTAACGTTCATGCACATGTTGCGTTGATGATGTTACGTTGATGACGGGGTGGGGTGGGGGCGGGGAGGGATGTTAAAGTTCATGTACATGTTACGTTGTTGATGTTACATTGATGATGGATGGGGTGGGGATGGGGTAGGATGTTAACGTTCATGCACATGTTGCGTTGATGATGTTACGTTGATGACGGGGTGGGGTGGGGGCGGGGAGGGATGTTAAAGTTCATGTACATGTTACGTTGTTGATGTTACATTGATGATGGATGGGGTGGGGATGGGGTAGGATGCTAACGTTAATGCACATGTTGCGTTGATGATGTTGCATTGATGATGGAGTGGGGTGGGGGTGGGGTAGGATATGGTAGGATGTTAACGTTCATGCGCATGTTATGTTGATGATGTTACGTTGATGATGGAGTGGGGTGGGGGGTGGGTGGGATGTCCGTTCATGCTCATGTTAGTTGATAATGTGACGTTGATATGGGGTGGGGGTGGGTGGGGTGGGATGTCTGTTCATGCTCATGTTACGTTGATGATGTTATGTTGATGATGGGGTGGGGTTGGGGTGGGGTGAGATGTTAACGTTCATCTCTACATGTTGCGTTGATGATGTTAAGTTTGATGTTACGTTGATGATGGGTTGGGGTGGAGGTGGGGTAGGATGTTAACGTTAATGCACATGTTACGTTGATGATGTTACGTTGATGATGGGGTGGGGTTGGAGTTGGGTGGGATGTTAACGTTCATCTCTACATGTTGTGTTGATGATGTTACGTTGATGTTACGTTGATGATAGGTGGGGTGGGGGTGGGGTAGGATGTTAACGTTAATGAACATGTTACGTTGATGTTGATGATGGATAGGGTGAGGTGGGGGTGGGGTAGGATGTTAACGTTCATGCTCATGTTACGTTGATGATGTTACGTTGATGATGGGGTGGGGTCGGGGTGGTGTTAACGTTCGTCTATACATGTTGCGTTGATGATGTTACGTTGATGTTACGTTGTTGATGGGTGGGGTGGGGGTGGGGTAGGATGTCAACGTTAATGCACATGTTGCGTTGATGATGTTACGTTGATGATGGTTGGATGGGTGGGGTGGGGGTGGGGTAGGATGTTAACGTTCATGCGCATGTTGCGTTGATGATGTTACGTTAATGATGGAGGGGTGGGGGTGGGGTGGGATGTGAACGTTCATGCGCATGTTACTTGATGATGTTACGTTGATGATGGGGGGGGTGGGGTGGGGGGGGGGGGGGGGGGGGGTGGGATGTTAACGTTCGTGTACATGTTACGTCACGTTGATGATGTTACGTTGATGATGGGGGGGAGTGGGGGTTGAGTGGGATGTTAACGTTCATGTACACGTTACATTGATGATGTTATGAGCAAATTGTTTCCTTGTTGAAGTATATATATAGTTTTTGGAGAGTGCAAGAAAGGGCCCGCAGAGCTCGATGCGCAGTTGCAGGGGGAAGTAACCATCAGGCGCCTCTCAACGCCGTTCCCTGGTTCTAACTAGTTTAGTCCCACTTGTCAATGATGGATGATGGATTCAGTCCAGCAATTATTTCCTAGAAGTGTTGCTGTGACCAATGGCACGCCACTCAGCTATGCCCAGCACTCCCCATGACCCGCGCACAGCTGAAAAGGGTTGTGTTACAACATGGACTCTGTTGCAGGTGCCCCAACATCGACGTCCCAGGGCCAGGGTGTGGTCATTCAAGGTGGTGGCTTGGCGTTCGTTTATGTTTGTTTGCTGTTCACTTGTTGAAAAATGCACATCGGCGTTCCGATACTACTGTGGTCATGGCGTACGGCATGTTCTTTGATTGCCGGCTTTTCTTAGGACCCGGCAGAGAACTCTAACAAAACCAGCCTGACTTCTGCCTTGCGAGATGCACATGCAATGAACTAGTCACACGACATCACAGAACAGGCTGGAAAACTACGGTAAAAACAGCCAGTTTGGCCAACATATTTAAGGGTTGCCGCCCCTGCCGCCGACCCCGGAAGAATGGTCAACTAACCAGTTTGTTTTCCGATTCTGTTGATTCTGCGCTACCGCGGTACGACCATTTATAAGCGGTTTCTCGATATTCAGAGTTCTCAGCCTGCCGGGGGGCCCAAGGGATCGCAAGGAATCCCACGGCAAATTTGAACAGCAGGGTGCAATGGTTTGGATCCCTACTGTACTTAATTACATCTTAAGAATCTTATATAATACTGAATTCTTGTTGTTTTCTTTCATTTTATGATATTTCTTAGGTACGGATTCTTTTTTACTAAATCCCAAAGTGAAAGAGTGGACGCCTGCTGAAATATTCAGGATCGGCAATGTCAGCTAGTTAATAGCTGGACAGTCCATCAATTCCAATTTGGTTCCAATACTTACAATATCAAAATCTATCAAATTGTTGTTTTGGGGGTATCATCTTCCATTTTGAGACACATGCACCCCATTTCTTTTTTTTTGGTGTGTGTGTAATCAGCATTGGGTTTCTTTGCACCAATGGAACGGATGTAAAATGGTGAGATTTTCCAGAGCCAAGGTGGCAGCCAACCTTTTGGGTTTCCATAAATGGAGGATCCCCAATACTAGTAGCATCAATAGCTGAATGGTCTTTTCACGGAGAATCCCAATCTAAAGTGTTTTTTTTCAATGGGGTACCCTCATTTACGGAAACCACCATGGTTTTTTTGAATGAGGGTTGGTCATGGCGAAATCGAAATCCGTAGGGCTGATCATCGAAAAGGATGATTTGAGCCACTTTTTCCTCCTTCTGCTGCTGCTGCTCCTGCTCCTGCTGCTCCCTCTGTTCAAATGGCAGCTCCCGGATGGGAAAACACCATGGCAGCGAAGGACGGAAAGGCATCAAAATTGCGCGCAAAAAGTGCCTAATGTAACTTCTGAAACCCATAGAAAACGATGATTTTCGCTACTTTGTCCTACGCACGATTGCTGCTGCTGGGAAAACACCATGGCAGCGAGGGACGGAAAGGCAGCAAAATTGCGCCCAAAAAGTGCTTAATGTAATTTCTGAAACCTATAGAAAAGGATGATTTTCGCTACTTTTTCCTCCGCGCTATTGCTGCTGCTGGAAAACACCATGGCAGTGAAGGACGGAAAGGCATCAAAATTGCGCCCAAAAAAGTGCCTAATGTAACTTCTGAAACCAATCGAAAAGAATGATTTTAGCAATTTTTTACTCTTCCTGCTGCTGCTGCTTCTGCTCCTGCTGCTCCTTCTGTTCAAATGGCAGCTCCCGCATGGGAAAACACCATGGCAGTGAAGGACGGAAAGGCAGCAAAATTGCACCCAAAAAAGTGCCCAATGTAATTTCTGAAACCCAAAGAAAAGGATGATTTTAGCTACCTTTTCCCTCCTCCTGCTGCTGCTGCTCCTGCTCCTGCTGCTCCCTCTGTCCAAATGCTAGCTCCCGGATGGGAAAACCTGCTGCTCCTTCTGTTCAAATGGCAGCTCCCGGATGGGAAAACACCATGGCAGTGAAGGACGGAAAGGCAGCAAATTTGCACCCAAAAAGTGCCTAATGTAACTTCTGAAACCCATAGAAAAGGATGATTTTAGCCACTTTTTCCTCCTGCTGCTGCTGCTTCTGCTCCTGCTGCTCCTTCTGTTCAAATGGCAGCTCCCGGATGGGAATACACCATGGCAGGGAAGGACGGAAAGGCAGCAAAATTGCGCCCAAAAAGTGCTTAATGTAACTTCTGAAACCAATCGAAAAGAATGATTTTAGCAATTTTTTCCTCCTGCTGCTGCTGCTTCTGCTCCTGCTGCTCCTTCTGTTCAAATGGCAGCTCCCGGATGGGAAAACACCATGGCAGTGAAGGACGGAAAGGCATCAAAATTGTGCCCAAAAAAGTGCCTAATGTAACTTCTGAAACCCATAGAAAAGGATGATTTTAGCTACCTTTTCCTTCCTCCTGCTGCTGCTGCTGCTGCTCCTGCTGCTCCCTCTGTTCAAATGCTAGCTCCCGGATGGGAAAACACCATGGCAGTGAAGGACGGAAAGGCATCAAAATTGCGCCCAAAAAGTGCCTAATGTAACTTCTGGAACCCATAGAAAAGGATGATGTTCGCTACTTTTTCCTCCGCGCTGCTGCTGCTGGCGCTGGTGTTGGTGGTGGTGGTGCTGCTGCTGCTGCTATTGCTGAAAGAAGAGTACCAAAAGCACCTCCCGGTGTGGCAAAGCTACCACATCAAAATTGCGCGCAAAAAGTGCTTAATGTAACTTCTGAAACCCATCGAAAAGAATGATTTTAGCAACTTTTTCCACCTGCTGCTGCTGCTTCTGCTCCTGCTGCTCCTTCTGTTCAAACGGCAGCTCCCGGATGGGAAAGCATCATGGCAGTGAAGGACGGAAAGGCAGCAAAATTGCGCCCAAAAAGTGCTTAATGTAACTTCTGAAACCAATCGAAAAGAATGATTTTAGCAATTTTTTACTCTTCCTGCTGCTGCTGCTTCTGCTCCTGCTGCTCCTTCTGTTCAAACGGCAGCTCCCGGATGGGAAAGCATCATGGCAGTGAAGGATGGAAAGGCATCAAAATTGCGCCCAAAAAGTGCCTAATGTAACTTCTGAAACCCGAAGAAAAGGATGATTTTAGCTACCTTTTCCTCCTGCTGCTGCTCCTGCTCCTGCTGCTCCTTCTGTTCAAACGGCAGCTCCTGGATGGTAAAACACCATGGCAGTGAAGGACGGAAAGGCAGCAAAATTGCGCCCAAAAAGTGCTTAATGTAACTTCTGAAACCAATCGAAAAGAATGAATTTTAGCAATTTTTTCCTCCTGCTGCTGCTGCTGCTTCTGCTCCTGCTGCTCCTTCTGTTCAAATGGCAGCTCCCGGATGGGAAAACACCATGGCAGTGAAGGACGGAAAGGCATCAGAGTTGCGCCCAAAAAAGTGCCTAATGTAACTTCTGAAACCCATAGAAAAGGATGATTTTAGCCACTTTTTCCTCCTGCTGCTGCTGCTGCTCCTGCTCCTGCTGCTCCTTCTGTTCAAATGGCAGCTCCCGGATGGGAAAACACCATGGCAGTGAAGGACGGAAAGGCAGCAAAATTGAGCCCAAAAAGTGCCTAATGTAACTTCTGAAACCCATAATAGAAAAGGATAATTTTAGCCACTTTTTCCTCCTCCTGCTGCTGCTTCTGCTCCTGCTGCTCCTTCTGTTCAAACGGCAGCTCCCGGATGGGAAAACACCATGGCAGGGAAGGACGGAAAGGCAGCAAAACTTCGCCCAAAAAGTGCTTAATGTAACTTCTGAAACCAATCGAAAAGAATGATTTTAGCAATTTTTTCCTCCTGCTGCTGCTGCTGCTTCTGCTCCTGCTGCTCCTTCTGTTCAAATGGCAGCTCCCGGATGGGAAAACACCATGGCAGTGAAGGACGGAAAGGCATCAGAATTGCGCCCAAGAAAGTGCCTAATGTAACTTCTGAAACCCATAGAAAAGGATGATTTTAGCTACCTTTTCCCTCCTCCTGCTGCTGCTGCTCCTGCTCCCGCTGTTCAGAAGTTACATTAGGCACTTTTTTGGGCGCAAATTTGCTGCCTTTCCGTCCTTCACTGCCATGGTGTTTTCCCATCCGGGAGCTGCCATTTGAACAGAAGGAGCAGCAGGTTTTCCCATCCGGGAGCTAGCATTTGAACCCATAGAAAAGGATTTTAGCTACATTTTCCCTCCTGCTGCTGCTGCTGCTCCTACTCCTGCTGCTCCATCTGTTCAAATGCTAGCTCCCGGATGGGAAAACCTGCTGCTCCTGTTCAAACGGCAGCCCCCGGATGGGAAAACACCATGGCAGTGAAGGACGGAAAGGCAGCAAAATTGCGCCCAAAAAGTGCCTAATGTAACTTCTGAAACCCATAGAAAAGGATGATTTTAGCTACCTTTTCCTCCTGCTGCTGAGCTCCCGGATGGGAAAACACCATGGCAGTGAAGGACGGAAAGGCAGCAAAATTGCGCCCAAAAAGTGCTTAATGTAACTTCTGAAACCAATCGAAAAGAATGATTTTAGCAATTTTTTTCTCCTCCTGCTGCTGCTGCTTCTGCTCCTGCTGCTCCTTCTGTTCAAATGGCAGCTCCCGGATGGGAAAACACCATGGCAGTGAAGGACGGAAAGGCATCAGAATTGCGCCCAAAAAAGTGCCTAATGTAACTTCTGAAACCCATAGAAAAGGATGATTTTAGCCACTTTTTCCTCCTGCTGCTGCTGCTTCTGCTCCTGCTGCTCCTTCTGTTCAAACGGCAGCTCCCGGATGGGAAAACACCATGGCAGTGAAGGACGGAAAGGCAGCAAAATTGCGCCCAAAAAGTGCCTAATGTAATTTCTGAAACCCATAGAAAAGGATGATTTTAGCTACCTTTTCCTCCTGCTGCTGCTCCTGCTCCTGCTGCTTCTGTTCAAATGGCAGCTCCCGGATGGGAAAGCACCATGGCAGTGAAGGACGGAAAGGCATCAGAATTGCGCCCACAAAAGTGCCTAATGTAACTTCTGAAACCCATAGAAAAAGATGATTTTAGCTACCTTTTCCCTCCTCCTGCTGCTGCTGCTTCTGCTCCTGCTGCTCCTTCTGTTCAAATGGCAGCTCCCGGATGGGAAAACACCATGGCAGTGAAGGACGGAAAGGCATCAGAATTGCGCCAAAAAAAGTGTCTAATGTAACTTCTGAAACCCATAGAAAAGGATGATTTTAGCAACTGTTTCCTCCTGCTGCTGCTGCTTCTGCCCCTGCTGCTCCTTCTGTTCAAATGGCAGCTCCGGATGGGAAAACACCATGGCAGTGAAGGACGGAAAGGCATCAGAATTGCGCCCAAAAAAGTGCCTAATGTAACTTCTGAAACCCATAGAAAAGGATGACTTTAGCTACCTTTTCCCTCCTACTGCTGCTGCTGCTCCTGCTCCTGCTGCTCCCTCTGTTCAAACGGCAGCCCCCGGATGGGAAAACACCATGGCAGTGAAGGACGGAAAGGCAGCAAAATTGCGCCCAAAAAGTGCCTAATGTAACTTCTGGAACCCATAGAAAAGGATGATTTTCACTACTTTTTCCCTTCTCCTGCTGCTGCTGCTGCTCCTGCTCCTGCTGCTGCCTCTGTTCAAATGCTAGCTCCCGGATGGGAAAACCTGCTGCTCCTTCTGTTCAAACGGCAGCTCCCGGATGGGAAAACACCATGGCAGTGAAGGACGGAAAGGCAGCAAAATTGCGCCCTATTTTAGCTGCCTTTTCCTCCTGCTGCTGCTCCTGCTCCTGCTGCTCCTTCTGTTCAAATGGCAGCTCCCGGATGGGAAAACACCATGGCAGCGAAGGACGGAAAGGCAGCAAAATTGTGCCCAAAAAGTGCTTAATGTAACTTCTGAAACCAATCGAAAAGAATGATTTTAGCAATTTTTTCCTCCTGCTGCTGCTGCTGATTCTGCTCCTGCTGCTCCTTCTGTTCAAATGGCAGCTCCCGGATGGGAAAGCACCATGGCAGTGAAGGACGGAAAGGCAGCCAAATTGCACCCAAAAAGTGCCTAATGTAACTTCTGAAACCCATAGAAAAGGATGATTTTAGTCTACATTTTCCTCCTGCTGCTGCTCCTGCTCCTGCTGCTCCTTCTGTTCAAATGGCAGCTCCCGGATGGGAAAACACCATGGCAGTGAAGGACGGAAAGGCAGCAAAATTGCGCCCAAAAAGTACTTAATGTAACTTCTGAAACCAATCGAAAAGAATGATTTTAGCAATTTTTTCCTCCTGCTGCTGCTGCTTCTGCTCCTGCTGCTCCTTCTGTTCAAATGGCAGCTCCCGGATGGGAAAACACCATGGCAGTGAAGGACGGAAAGGCATCAGAATTGCGCCCAAAAAAGTGCCTAATGTAACTTCTGAAACCCAAAGAAAAGGATGATTTTAGCTACCTTTGCTTCCTGCTGCTGCTGCTCCTGCTCCTGCTGCTCCCTCTGTTCAAATGCTAGCTCCCGGATGGGAAAACCTGCTGCTCCTTCTGTTCAAATGGCAGCTCCCGGATGGGAAAACACCATGGCAGTGAAGGACGGAAAGGCAGCAAATTTGCGCCCAAAAAGTGCCTAATGTAACTTCTGAAACCCATAGAAAAGGATGATTTTAGCTGCCTTTTCCTCCTGCTGCTGCTCCCGCTCTCCTTCTGTTCAAATGGCAGCTCCCGGATGGGAATACACCATGGCAGGGAAGGACGGAAAGGCAGCAAAATTGCGCCCAAAAAGTGCTTAATGTAACTTCTGAAACCAATCGAAAAGAATGATTTTAGCAATTTTTTCCTCCTGCTGCTGCTGCTGCTTCTGCTCCTGCTGCTCCTTCTGTTCAAATGCTAGCACCTGCTGCTCCTTCTGTTCAAACGGCAGCTCCCGGATGGGAAAACACCATGGCAGTGAAGGACGGAAAGTCAGCAAAATTGCGACCAAAAAAGTGCCTAATGTAACTTCTGAAACCAATAGAAAAGGATGATTTTAGCTACCTTTTCCCTCCTCCTGCTGCTGCTGCTGCTCCTGCTCCTGCTGCTCCCTCTGTTCTAATGCTAGCTCCCGGATGGGAAAACACCATGGCAGCGAGGGGCGGTAAGGCATCAAAATTGCGCCCAAAAAATGCCTAATGTAACTTCTGAAACCCAAAGAAAAGGATGATTTTAGCTACCTTTTCCCTCCTCCTGCTGCTGCTGGCGCTGGTGTTGGTGGTGGTGGTGGTGCTGCTGCTATTGCTGAAAGAAGAGTACCAAAAGCACCTCCCGGTGTGGCAAAGCTACCAAATCCACACTGTTCACAGGAAAAGTCCAAACACAGGGGCACTGCGGCCGTCAATTTCAAATGGCAAATGGGACAATGTCTTATCACAGGAAAAGTCCAAACACAGGGGCATTGCGGCCGTCAATTTCGAATGGCAAATGGGACAATGTCTTATTCCCTGGCTTGCGTCTGCCGGGGTCGGCGGATTCCCTGGCGCGCTCCCCCTTGCGTCTGCCGGGGTCTGCTGCTGCTTCTGCTGCTGCTGCTGCTGCGGCTGCTGCTGCGGCTGCTGCTGCTGCTGCTGCTGCTGCCACTGCACAAAAACACAGCCACACGGCCCTGTAGTAGTAGTAGTAGTCGTCGTCGGCGTCGTCGTCGTCGTAGTAGTAGTAGTAGCAGGAGTAGTAGCAGTAGTAGTAGTAGTAGCAGCAGTAGCAGTAACAGTAGCAGTAGTAGTAGTAGTGCAGTACATCTTCTTCCCTTACGCGCTCCCCCTTGCGTCGGCCGGGGTCGGCGGATATTGCTGCAGCAGCTGAGCAGACAAGGTCAAGTGATGGCACTCCCTGGCTCTCCGGGTGGAATGGTGGCAGTCCCAATTCATCAGACCCTTGGCAATCTGAGTTCAACACAAGAACGGAAGAAAACCAAGCGCAAAGGAGATGGAACAAGCACAGTGTATGTACTCATTTTTTTCTGCCATGGGTCCTTCCAGCATCTAAGGCTGAAAAAAAATTCACGGGGGTCGTTGAGCACGCTGACAATTCTTGATTTCCGCTGAGCTGTGTGCAGTCAGATTGGGACTAAGGGCTTTGGGCTGCGCTGTGTCAGCGCAAATGTATCCAGTGACAATGGCTCCATACCCTATGCTTCCAGCAGGGGGGACCGTATTGATGCAGTTGCCTGGCCCACCATTGCAGCCTGGCCAAAGGGACCGGGTCAAGGTACTGTATGTCAAGGCCTAGACTCAGTACATTATATAGTTCAGTTCTTCAGCTAGTTACCTCTTTGTAGAATAGATGTATATATGACTATATACATAGTAATGCCATGAGTTGCTTCTCCGGACAACCAATACTCCGAGGCCAATGAGTCTAGAATCTAGAAAGGTTATTTCTGTGATTTGCTTTTATGGGGAAGGTGGTGAGCAGCTTAGGACTCAGATTCCTCAAGCAGCTGTGACGCTCCTTGATTGCATGCGAGCAGTATCATCGTTTTCTGGGGCCAAAGTTTTGGAGCGTTGAGGACAGCTGTGCACGGCTGTGCAGATGTTATTTGTGAAACAATTTGTAAGGCAAGCTGCAAACTATAAGCTGGAGGCGCCGCAACTGGTCCATGGCTCACAGCAGAGAAGTCCAAGCCCGCGGTGGGCGGACATGGGTGCTGATGATCCATAAAGATCCATGTATGAAGAATGATCATCTGACGGTGCTGTTTGAAGAAGCGGGGGTTGAGCCAGTCCAGCCGAAGTTGTCTCAGCAAGTTTGAACTAGGAAAGCAATAACAGCTCATCAGCAGCTTACCATATGAAGATATATGAAGTTGATGTCATATGATTTCAGAACTCTCCTTTCATCAGCTTGGCTGCCGGCTGAAGCTCCCTCCAATTGGATGATCATGATGCTAAGCAGGCCAACGACAGTAGGAAGCTGAGCACAAGTCGGAAGGTGCTGGCTTTTTCCAGTTGTTGCGGATAGGGGAAAGCAGTGTCTATTGAAGCTTGTCAACATGGATTGCTTGAAGCCATCTTCAGTAAGTGTACACCCATTGGGAACTTTGAACCACCTATGTAGTTGTAAAATTCAGGGAGGGTAATCTCAAAGCCTGCATTCCAGCATGGTCATTCCGCATTGTTTTCTGGAGCTGCAAAAAAAACCGTCACAAGAAGCGCAATTGGCAAATGCTGAAACATTGCACAGCTACAGCAGATTCCCAATGTTGTTTCAAACGCAGCAACGCACTTCAGAAAGCCAACGTGCGGAGCTAAAGGGCACAGGGACCTGATGTGCCAGCGTGGCGAAGCCAGGCTGTAGGTTTTCAGGGCAAAGAATTTCATGCCAATAGAGAAAAAGAAGCATCAGATTTCATTATGCAGAGGACCCGTGTCAAGCTGGAGATGAGCAGAGAAACACAGGGTGTTGTCACCAACAGTAGGAAAGGGCAGCCACGTTTGTACATCAGAGTTAGTTACAGTTAGTTACTGAGTCACTTGTGAAATATTCCTGCGTGAGCTGGAGTCAATCTTGGCACAGGAAGCTGAAGCCAGAAGACTGCGCGGCTGAGTGCGCTGACAATGAGCTCTTCGGTGGTGCCATGTCCGAGGTGCAATTTCACGTCCTCCTCATTCATGTTGGTATGCAGATCGTATGCCCATGGATTTGGCTATTGCCATTTTGCCATGCTGCAAGTCCTTGGATGAAGGCCATCTCCCAACTTGAATTAGCAAAAGATATGTGAGTGGTGAGAGACAATGAACATATCTCCGTGTTTGCGAGGCTAGCCGCCCAGCCCTGTTACCTTCTGGATAGAATGGCAAATCGTGTCACCTCCTGTTGTGTGTTTTTGTGTATGAATCTACATGTTTCCGGAATTTATATTTTGCTATATTTTGCTTGATTTCCGGAGTGGTAGCCGGGAAGTTTGGTGGATGCATTGGCTAGGCATCAAGACATAGGCACTGGTGGTTAGTCGGCAGGGTGCATTGCCCAAAAGCATTTTGAAGTCCTTTGAGTCGGCAAGACTGCCGCAACAAACCTTGCAGGCAGATTTTCGTTTGCTGATGAACGAGGACGCATGTGCAACTGAGAAGACGGCGGAGGCCATTCAGCGGTGACTTTCCGAGAAATGCTCTTAAACATGTTAAACTTCCCATGCTGGGATGGTCGATTTCTGTCCTGGGCCCTATCGTGTGATATCTTGCTTTGGGGGTGGCATTACCTTAAACATCTTAAACGCAACTGCGTTATGCGAGTATGACTCTGGACACTGAGCCAGGGCTTGAGGGCCTTCATTTCCGACACAGACAAGCTGGAGGTGCTTTGATCCGATGAATGGAGTCCCCGGGTGTCACCGGTCTCAATCGTTGAAGAGATGTTTATTCATATTATATAAATATTTATACCGTATTATAATGTATTATACCGTTATATTCTGTTCATTGCCAATATTCAGATCCCGGCTGTGCAGGCAGGCATTCGGGAGAAGCTGAAGGCAATGTAGATCAGCAACCGTGGCATACCGTAGAGTACCGTAGAAACCATGTACTGATGTACTGTATATATCATTTTCCTAGAGGCCAGGATGAGGCCATGGGCCGTGGCGAGAATCGTTTTCCAGCATCAAAAAGAGAACGACTCCCGAACAGCAATCTGAACATGCCCGTTCAATGTTCTGCATGCTGTTCTGCACACAAGCACACAAGTCGCATCAAATCACCTAAATCGGACAAGCTGGTGGCTCAAACACACATATATAGACTCTGCTACTGAATCATTCCGAATCATTCCTAGTTTCACCAGCCTTCGCACGGCCACCTATCACCGAACCCCATCAATGCCCAGAGGCTTTGTGATTTTGCAGTTGTGTGTTCTTCTTACAGAATCGGGCACAGTCGAGAAGCCTAGATTCGCAAACGCTGGGGCAGCAGCTGGAGCTGAAGATGCAGAGGGATGTAGCCACTGCGAGGTGGATGCAGCACTTCTTCTGCAGCACAGTGGGAATCATGGCAGCAAGAGCAGCAACTCTCTGGAAAACAGCACAGTGGAACCAGTGGGAAGCAAACATGAGCCACGAGAAGTCAGAGACGTCAGAGAAGTCAAAATGAAATCGCAAGAAGTCACAATAGATCAAGCTCTTATGGACAATGTCACAATGGAAAAGTTGGCTGACCAGATGGCCAGGCAGATGAGCTGGGAATTCCAAAACTCCAAAGGAACGTTGCTGAAAGTGGCAGGACCAGGAACCATGACGCAAGTCACCGAAAACAATCCGGCAAGCCTCTCAGGTACAGAGGTATCTCTGTTCGTTCGAGCTGCATACAAAGCAGTTGCGCCAGCTATGGGTGAAGCAAAGGTCCAAGTGGAGTTGCAAATGGCTGCACCAGGCCAAATACTTTGGGTCTATGCAATCTTGTGGATGCCACTGGCACTTGCATGGTTGTGGTCTGGATTGCCACTGCTGTCTCAAGACCTCTCTCCCAGCCAAAGCCTGCAATTTCGACAATTGCTGCAACTCAGTGTCGGCGCACTGACTATCAGTGCAGTCGTATCCAATCAATCATTGTGCATATTGACCCGAGCACCGATGGCATTGACATTGTTTCAGTCTGCGGTTGCTGCTTGCATGGGTGCAGTGTTGTGGGCATTCCAGATGTGGCTCAACCCTGCACAACACCCAACGGCTCGGCACATCCGTGTAGGCAGGGCAGTCCCGGGTAGTCCTGCACCTGATTTTTTAGGAAGCCATGTTTCTGCAGGAAGCATTAAAAAGCGTCATCACATCACAAAAGACATGATGAGAAAAACACTTGTACGTTCTATATCGTTCATCGTTCTGTCATTCCATCGGTTCCATCTCCAGACTTTGGTATGAGCAGTATGGGCCACCTATGGCCACCTTACTTTAAAGATCTTTAAGTTGGTTTCGACTAAACAGTGTGCCATGGCAAAGGCTTGAAGCTGCCCCTGCGTGAGGTCTCTGGAGATGGATGCCATGTGCCACGTGCTTCGCATGTTTCCAAGTTTCCGATCACTTCGTGTCAAACTACACATCCATCACAGAGAGGATCGTTCTGGGAAACTTGGTCCCAGTCCTCTCATGGATAGCAGAGATGACCTTCCCAAACACCTTTCAATCCAAAGACCAAGCAAGTGTCTCAGCAAAGGTTGCTCTGTTTTCCACCGTTTGCGGGGCTGCATTTTTTGTGGCAGAAGATTCAGCTCTGACTGCCCTCGGCGTTTCTTCCTGCGCGCTGTGTAGTGTGATTCTCCTGATCTACCGCTTGACTCAGAGAGGTGTTCTGGTGAATCTTCTCGCATTCCCTGTAGCATGTTTGTTGACCTTCGACAGTGTTGTGAGTTGCCTCATTTCTTATAGCCTTTGCGGGCCTGCTGATTTGACAGCAATGCGGGACTGGAGCCTTTGGATCGAAACGCCTCAAGTCTTTGTGCTACTGACCTGCAGTGAGTGTGCAGTGAGTGTGCTGAGCTGATTCATGCTGATTCTTTTAGGAGCCTCTTTTACTACTACGTACTAGTAGTGCTAAATGTGCAAATAGATTCAGAATCAACGTGTTTGAGCTGTTTCAGAAGACGTCAGCCCAGAAAGATCATAACCCCTTGAACGAAGCTCAGGCTGCTGGTGCTGTCCGGAATTGGCATGGGGATCGGGCATTTGGTGGTGATTCTCTGCCTAAGGCGAGAAGCCAGGGCAGCAAGGGGTAAGCACATTGTGCACAGATGCGACGTCCCTACCTGCAGTGCTCAGTTGCCAACTGAATATATTGGACTCAATTATTGGTGCATGAATTTGCGTAGCTCTTTTCAATTCTTTTCATGCATTTTCTATCCTTTTCTTCGTATTGGATGCAGGAGCAGCAGCGCTACACTAACCATGGTGATTTGCAATGTGGCCTCGATGATTTGCCTCGTTCAGGGCATGGTCCTCTTCAATGATTCCCAGTTTCAGCATCCGCTGGCCTTGGTTGGGATGACCATCAACTTGATAGGTGGAGTTTGGTACACGACGAGCCAGGTTGGAATTATTGAGATCGATTCTGACAGAAAGGCGGTTGTGTACAAAGACATTCACAGAGAAGGCAGCCCAAAATGATGCAAACTGCCAATATACTTGAATATGCAGAAAAAACATCCGCGCCTGTTGCAGCCTGCTAGAATTTTTGTCATGGGTTTGGACAACACCTGTGCTGAATCTTGCTGAAGTATCTGTTGCAGGGCCTGGCTTCAACATGCTTCAACATTTCACAGAATATTTGCAGCTTTCACAGCGTGTATTGGACGCAGGGGATTCATTGAAATGGCATAAAAATCAGGCCTGCGACGATTTGGGTCAAATTTGGTTGAATAATATGCCCATGGTGCTACATGTCGAAGAAAATGCAAGGGATTTTTATGAAGGGTCTCTTGTGTCCAAGTGGTTTGGCCTAGGACCTAGGATGTAAAGCAGAATCCTCGAAATCTTTGAAGCCGTTTGTCCCAGACCCGCTGCTTCTCGAGAGTACAAGTATTTCAGGTCTATGAGCCCACCAAGTAGTAAGGACAGGTCAAAAGCAGGCCAACCACGGAAATTGAGTGATGTAACAATGTAGTCAATGTCATCGGAGCCTTTCTGGTACAAGTTGACCTCCAGCCAGTTCAAACTAGAGCTGGGTCCGAGGGGTCTGAGGGGTCTGGTACTTTCCTCTGGCACTTGAAGCCTCGAAGCTTGGATTCTAGATGAGATGGCATTCATGATCATTCATGCATTTTTTCGGAGACTGCAGAGGGATATTACGTTTCATGAGCCACTGCTTTTTTTTTTGTGCCATTTTCAATTTCTGTCCTGATGCCACACACGAACATCTACGCACATGAATACAAGCTGCAAATGACATTGCGCGTACTGTATTCGTACCTGCACATTTGCACATTTGCACAGACACACACACACTCAGAATTGCTTATCGAATTGTGAAGTGGGAATGCATCTAACGTGCAAAAACAGCTCATTGAACCTGATAGGACAAAAGAGTCGTTCATTTGTCCAGCGACTTGTATCCAACGCACCATGGAGAAACTGCAAAAGATTGAAGCTGACCCTTCCCTTCCTTGTAGCAAATTGTTCCCAAAGGATTCAAATAATACAGATTGCGACAACCATACAAATAAGTCACATGCATCGACTGCAGAAAAAGACGCCTTGCCGGTTCTAAGCTTAGCCAGTTGCTATCGCAGCGAAAATTGGAATTTGCAGGTACGTGACTCCAGCATCCCAGAGTCAGTCATGAATCCAGCCCTCTTCGTTGGGCAATCAGCTGCAAACATGAGATTGCCCCCCTGCAAATTTGATCAAAACTGGACATTCAATTCATTCAGCACAAACGATTGGCCCAAACATCCGAAAGAGTACAGGTTTTACATCTATTGAGATGTTACACACACACACAATTCTAAGCATGCATCAACTGTTTTTTTTTGGGGGGTGTATTAAGTGTATTGCCTACGTACATGTGAAGTACGGTCAAAATCAGTACTGAAGGAGGGGACCAGAAAGCCATAGAACTGACATAGGTCTAAAATAGCACACACATTGGTCATTTATATCAGTCATATATTTGCATTTCTTTTTTGTTTTCCTTTTCCTCTTCTTTCTATTCATTTTCCGTCCTTTTTCACTGTTTTCTTTTTCCTATCACTTTCAGTTTTTTTCGTTTCTATTCCTTCCCTTTGTCTTTTCTTGTTCCGTTTACTTCCCTTTGTTTCACTTGTCCGTTTTTTTTTTCTCCTCCCTCCAACCATGATAAATTATGACACTTCGGGCAATTTAATTCTGACGTATGTCAAATGTAACTTTAGATCTTATTCGGAATTCCGTTTTTTTCCCTTTTTGTCTTATTCAATTTGCCCTTTCTTCTTCCATTGTTTTCTTTTCTTTTTCTTTCCCTTTTCGTTTTACTCTATTTAAATTAAAGGAACTTTATTGCTGAATTAAAGCAACCCCTTTTTTTCAAGTTCAACTTTGAATTCGCTTAAACTCCTTTTTATTCAATTGTCCTTTCTTCTTTCTTTCTGCTTCCTTTTCTTTCCTTCCTTCTTCCTTTTCTCAATTTTCCTTTCTGTGCGACGTTCTTCTTTCTTTTCCTTTCTTGGTCATCAATATATTCTAATTTTGCGATAACCTTAGCGATCTTAGCGATACCCTAGCGATAACTGTTTGTTGACAAAGGGCCTTTGGACCAGGCATACCCTGGGTTGGTATCTTTTTCCAGAGTCTTTTTCCAAAGTGATTCAGCCATTGGCCTCTTACTGTAGCCATGCTTGCTGCTAACAAAAAATAACGTGAATATGATATTTGCAAGCAAACAAAGAAAAGAAAAACACAGGAACATTTTGCTACTTGACCTGGTCCATGAAGCTGGTTTTGGTAATTTTGATGAAGCCAATTCCGCTGAGTTTTTGCATTGTTTAGTGTTGACTTGAACACAACACTGTAAAGCGAAAAGGCCCTCCGGCCCTCCGGCCCTCGCAAACTTTATTTTCGCATTAGGCGAGCGCAATTGATTTTGACGGCAGCTCATATGCATCTGCACATACATTTATAATGCATGTGCATACACTTGCACAAACACACGTAATTATATAATTATATACCGGGTTACGCGGTATATCATCTGTATGTATATATATACTGTATAAATATATTATATATACTATTATATACTGTTATATTTATATGTTCGTTTTCTATATAAGTGCCCATGTACAAGAGTGTATTATGAATATGAACATAAATACGGATATGAATATGAACAGGGCACATTTTTATGACGTAATTTTTGTTTGCTGCGCATCTCCAACATGTATGCGTCCTAGTCTTAGCTGAAGCTAAGGAAAGGAATGTCCGCTGGGAAGGTGGCTGATCTGCAGCATAAGGCTAAATCACTGTGACTCTGCTGCAGAGCCTCTGCAGGACATCGGAAACGTGGGCAAAGGCCGCCATTTTTGGGTCCTCATTTTGCAACTTTGCTGAAAAAACACCAGCTGGTGCTTGCTTGTGCCCGTAGTAAATTCAAATTTTCCCTCTCCAGCTCCGCTGTTGATTCCATACTCTCAGAGATGCCTTCAAAACAGGGCCAGGAGAAGACTTTGCCCCAAATGCAGTGGCTGGCATGAAATGGCAGAAAGCTAAAACAGTTCGGAAATTAAATCCATTCCCAAAAGCCAGGCCACGCCTCAGTTTCTCTGGAAAATTGTTATATACTGCAACCGCCTGAATTTCCCGAAGAGTTTGTCCTGAGGTTTTTGGGTCATGCGAGTTGCTCTGTTTTCTTGATTCTTGTCAACAAGACAATTTCCATGTCGTTTCCTTTCGTTGCGGCCTGAGCTGCCTAAGCCACCCGCACCTGTCAAGTCGACATCCCGAAAGTGCGTCAAATGCATCGTGCTTTGCCAACTGAGGCCTGGACCGTGGTTGCACTTCAGAACACTGGAACTATCCTCTGTTCCACGTTTCTACACCTCTATGGGAAGGTGCAAGTTTTGGCTGTGTGGGTTTTCCGGTCTCGGACAGCACACCACAGCCCGTTTGAAAGTCCCAACCAAACCGCAGTAGACGGAATTCGGAATTTTGCTTTTTCAGGGGCCGAAGCTTGAGCAAACTGGAAAGTGCTCACAAAAGATAGCAACAGTTCTTGGTAAATGCCTCGCGTTTCATTACAGATGTTGGAACATTTCAGGTGATACTGCGCCAACTCAAGCCACATCAGGCCTGCATGACATTGGGTTATGGCCAGACCGTACATTTAATATCATGTAACGATATTAAATAAATGTCAAGTATAACACAGATACGGCAGCTACAATGCATAGAGTTACAGAGTATGCAGTCTGGCGATGTCTCGCCTTCAGCTTTCGCTGAACTCCCGGGGTGGTAATTAGTGGAAACATTGTGTCAGTCAGCACATGTCAGCACTGGATGCCCTGGCTTTGGACAACAACGAACGTCACGAGGGAGAACAGGAGACAAACACAGAAAGGGGACCGAGAACAGGAATGCGACCAGCAGTTCAGGTCCTTCCACTGCTGATAGATGCCATTTTGCTGGTAGTTGACCCTTGGTCGCAAGAGATATGCAGCTTGACAGAGCTGCTCTTTTCAATTTCCGAGAGCATTTGTGAAATGACAACTTAAGAAATAGATTTCCTGGGCAACCCTGCACCACGATCAGAGGATTTCAGAGGCACTGCGTATCATGTGATGTTTTCATTTCACCTGAGGTGTTGTTGAGCAGCTTTAAGGCCTTGGAGGAAGTGAGTGCCATGGCCCAGGGGTGCATTGAACGACTTGTTTTCTGAAAACAAGGGACCAACACGGTTTTTGGATGGGTTTTGCATCGCTTTGTTTGTGTATCATTTCCACATGTTACCACACTTTGCAGGTGTTCCGCTCTATGAGCCTTGACTGCATTTTGAACTATTGATGCATCGACCTCTTGCGCCGGGACACGTGCATATCATATATCACATATCACATATCATACATCGTAAAACATGAATCATATATCACATATCACATGTCATATATCATATCAGGTCATATCACGCCATACGATATCACGTCAAAACAAAAACACATCAATTCATACGACGCCATACCATATCATATCAACTCACATCACATGATATCACATCATATAAAGTCTCATCATGTCACATCTCATGACGCACCATACTATATCATACCATACCATACCATATCACATCATATCATTTCATACCATATCAATTCATATCATATCATACCAATTCATATCACCGCAGTTCAAATCATATCACGTCACATGACTTCATATCATGAGGTATCGCTTACCATACCATATCATATACGATACCATACCATATCATTCCATATTGCCAGACCATATGTTTTGATATCATGTCATACCATAACTTAACACGATGCCTCATATCATATCACGTCAGATCATATCAAATCATACGATACCATACCATATCATTCCGTACCGCCATACCAAATCATGTCATATCAAGTCATATCATATCACGTCATGACACAGTATATCCCACCATACCATGCCATATCATACCATACTGCCATACCATAATGTAACGTATCACGTCTTATGATATATAATATATCAAATATAATGTATTATATATCGCATATCATCTATCACATATCATATTACCTATCAGGTCATATCATATCATACAAGACTGCCGAATAATGCGGTACCATACCATATCATACCATACTGCCAAATCATATCATGTCATATCATGTCATATCAGTTCATAGCTTACCTCATCACATCCATATCATAGCAAGCTCACATCATATGATCATATCACATCTCAGAGGGCCGGTATGGTCTAGTGGATAAGACGCATCCCTCATGCGTCAGACCCGGGTTCAATACCCGGGTGCAACACTAGGTGGACAGGCGGGCCACTACCCCACCCCTGCAGTTAAGGGGATGAGCCAGGGTGTGGTCCGTAAAACATTCAAAAAAAATGTCATATCGTATCTCATCACTTCACACCACATCACACACCATGTCACATTATACTGTGTCATATCTCATCATATCTCATCATATCTTATCATATCTCATCATATCTCATAACATCAAAACATATGAAATCATATCACCTCATATCATATATCATATATCGTATATATTATATCATATGTATATATATATATCAATATCATACCATACCATATCATATCATACCATGTCAAATAATGTCATGTCATGTCATACCATTCATAACATAACATGATACGTCATATCCCGTTATATACCGTTATATCCCGTTATATCACGTTATATCATATCGCATCATATCATATCATATCAGGTCATTTCATATCTCATTACATCACATCATTCTTTACCTTATAATATCATATCATTTGTTTCACGTCATGCATTGTCATATTTTTTTTATCACGTCATGTAATGTCACGTCACATCAAATCACATCACATCACATCACATCATATACACGTGTACCTATACATGCTGCAGCAGTGTGGCCATCTTCACTCCCAGGTGCCGCCTGTTTAAAGACCACATCATGGCCCATTGTTCAAGAGGAACAGGGTGTTCCATTTGCATCTATCCGTTGCTATCCCAAACCCACCACGTTTTTTATTCTCAAATGTCAGGTCTAGGAATTGACATAAGGACGCCCATGACGTCAAAACTTTTATGAGGCTTTGAGACAGAACTTTGTGTTTTCGTTTGCGCTTGAATCTTCTAAGCGTGGTTTGCGCCCAGGTTGTCATTCGGAATACAGTTCCTTTTCTGACAGCCGTGTGCGAAAGAGTTGCACTCAAAAAGCCAATGGACATGATGCTGATACTGGCGCTCCTGATAACCTTTCTTGGCACTGTCCTGTACTCAGAAACCTGGCGGCACTATCACAAGCATGTCGAATTATCTCCGTTGACTTCACATCTTGAATCAAACACTGAACATGTCGCCAGGTAACTGATTTTACGATTAGATACAACGGAGCAATCTATGCGATCTCCAATGCCGTTCTTGTTGCCGGAATGTGCACCTACGAGCGGTATCTGATGACTTCTGCAAATCTCGGCATGTCTGCCATTGACATCAATTTCCATCGGGTTGTCCCTTGGCTGTCGGCTTTGAAGCTTTCACTGTAGTTTGTTGCTGGAGGATCGTCACGATCGTCCTTGTGGAGTTTGTTTTGCACATCTAAACTTGTACCTTAAGATACCTTAAGTAGACTTAGTAGATTTAGATGCTGTGCTTGACTGCAACTCAGGTGTTGTCAATGCCGATGATTTTTGCACTGGGCTACTTCGAGGGTTTCCCGGGGACACTGCTGGACCTTGCAGCCCGGAGGCGCACCTGGCAGAACCCTAGAAAAGATAAATGCAGAGGCTGCAGGGTGACAGGCATAGGCAGACATAGGCAGACATAGGCAGACATAGGCAGCCAAGGTCGTGATTGTCATGTGCCAAAGTTGTTGTTCTGTTGGAGCCATGTGAGTTGTGATTGTGTTTGTGCTTCTCATCCTTTTTGCAGTTCCTGTAATGACTGTAGCAGGCATAATTTTATCTTCAGCGGACAGCGGGCTTCCTTCCCGGTAGCAGGAGACAACAACTTGATGCAGGTACGAAGCAGCATTAGTTGCGTCCTCCGCTGTCGCAGCCTTCGGGATTGGCACCCTGTTGTTGGCTCTGCAGGCGAGGAGACAAATCTCACAGATGAGGACGCTACACGACCTTAAAAACCACGGTTTTTCAAACCCTTTGATTTTTCCCCAAACAGTGCGTTAGGGGTTCTTAATGCTTTCTTAAGGTGTCCGCGTTGGTGTTGGATGGTATGTCCGCCTTCCCGAGGGTCTTGTCTCCCTTTGTCTCCCGTTGTACCCCTGTTTGTTTCCCTTTGTTGGATGGTGTGTCCGCCTTCCCGAGGGTCTTGTCTTCTTTTGTCTCCCATTGTACCCCTTCTTGTTTTCCTTTGTTGGATGGTGTGTTCGCCTTCCCGAGGGTCTTGTTTCTTTTTTGTCTCCCGTAGTACCCCTTTTTGTTTCCCTTTGTTGGATGGTGTGTCCGCTTTCCCGAGGGTCTTGTCTCCCCTTGTCTCCCATTGTGCCCCTTTTTGTTTCCTTTGTTGGATGGTGTGTTCGCTTGCCGATGTCTTTTCTCCCCTTGTCTCCCATTGTACCCCTTCTTGTTTTCCTTTGTTGGATGGTGTGTCCACCTTCCCGAGGGTCTTGTCTCCCTTTGTCTCCCATTGTACCCCTTCTTGTTTCCCTTTGTTGGATAGTGTGTCCGCTTTCCCGAGGGTCTTGTCTCCCTTTGTCTCCTGTTGTACCCGTTCTTGTCTCCTTTTGTCTCCCATTGTGCCCCTTCTTGTTTCCCTTTGTTGGATGGTGTTCCCGCCTTCTGGAAGGTCTTGTTTCCTTTCCTTTTGTCTCCCATTGTGCCCCTTCTTGTTTCCCTTTGTTGGATGGTGTGTCCGCCTTCCCGAGGGTCTTGTCTCCCCTTATCTCCCTTTGCGCCCCTTCTTGTTTCCCTTTGTTGGATGGTGTGTCCGCCTTCTCGAGAGACTTGTCTCCCTTTGTGTCCCATTGTACCCCTTCTTGTTTCCCTTTGTTGGATGGTGTGTCGGCCTTCTCGAGGGTCTTGTCTCCCCTTGTCTCCCATTGTGCCCCTTCTTGTTTCCTTTTGTTGAATGGCGTCCGCCTCCTGAGGTGTTGTTTCTCCTTGTCTCTCTTCTTGTTTCCTTTTGTTTGATGGTGTGTCCGCCTTGCAGAGGTCTTGTCTCCCCTTGTCTGCCCCACATATGTGCCTGTGTTGGATGGTGTGTCCGCATTCCTGTGGTCTTGTCTCCCCTTGTCTTCCATTGTCTCCCATTGTTTCGCATTGTCTCCCATTGTCCCCTTGTCCCCCATTGTTTCCCAGTGTCTCCCCACATGTGTGCCTGTGTTGGATGATGTGCCCTCCTTCCCGACGTCTTGTCTCTCATTGTCTCCCCACATGTGTGCCTGTGTTGAATGGTATCTCCGGCTTGGATGGTGTGTTCACCTTCTCTCCACACCTTCTCTCCCATTGTGTCCCCATTGTCTCTGATTGTGTCCCCCACATGTGTGCCTGTGTTGCATGGTGTGCCCGCCTTCCCAAGGTCTTGTCTCCCTTGTCTCCCTTGTCTCCCTTGTCTCCCTTGTCTCCCTTGTCTCCCTTGTCTCCCAGCTTGTCTCTCTTCTTGTTTCCCTTTGTGGCGGGTGGTCTCAGTTTGCTTTTTCCCCAAACTGTGTACTGTCAGGTGTTCTTAATGCTTTCTTAAGGTCCGCCTTGGTGTTGGGTTGTGTGTCCGCCTTCCCGAAGTCTTGTCTCCCATCTTGACTCCCAAACAGTGTACTGTTAGGGGTTCTTAATGCTTTCTCATGTGCTTGAGCCAGTTCCTCAAAACACTTCTTGAATCCACCCACTGTTTGGTGTCTACGGTGGTGTAATTGAAAACCCTCAGAACAAGACCTCGTTGCTCTAATGAGCCTGCAGGGTGAGGTGTCTGCCACAACCATCCAGGCCTAGAAATTGCGTCGACTTGACATGGGGGTGATGGGTTTGTTTTGTTTGTTTCGTTTCTTTTGGTGCACCTGCCGTGGCCATCTCTTGGTAGGTGGCCAATGTCGCCTACAAATGCGCTACAACCGTCGTGAGCAGATTAACGCACCCCTCCGAGCTGCCACCTCAAACCACGATCTCGAAACACAATTTGACATACTTGAGCCATATATAAAAGGAAGGATAAGATGAGAGAATCAATGTTCAGAAACGAAGGAAACACGTGCTTCCTGCAAAGCGTCTTGTACTTGCTCAGGCTGACCGTCGCAGGAGTCATTGGCTATTGCATATGCCGCTGGCTTGCATGAAGTGCTGAACTCGGAATCACTTTTTGAAGCACTGGTCCTGACGTGAAGGTACCAGCGGCGTTCTAACCTATACTCTGACAAGAGGAAGAGCCGCCAAGAAGGACTGCTAATGTGCTGATTTGTCATTCACTTGGCATCTGTATGACGTTGGTGCAAGAATATGGACGCATGATGATTTGCATTCTGATCTCCGATTGTCAAGCTTTGGCACTTCTTCGGATCCGCGACACAGCAAGGACAAGTAGAAGTGAGGACACGGGGTTGAGCTGAGGTTAAGAAAGCCTCACCCACTTGTGGCGCTTAGTGTGAAAAGGGGTTTGTCAATTTTTCTGGCAGATGCACTTTGAATGCCGCATTGAGTGATAGCTGTCCAGGCCCCCCACTTGCAAATTAGCTTTTTTCCAGTCTAGAACAGCTCTTTAAGAGAGGCCACGATGTAACTCGACATCAACGATCATTAATCATTATATTATAATATGTATATATACAAATCTTAATTTCCTGGCAGTTTTTCGTTTTTGGACTTTGTCTTCATTGAGAGGGCTTTCGAAGTTCTTGGACCAAGGAGAATAAAAGCATGGAAAATCTGTTATCAGAACTAGAAGTACATGCATAATTGGTAGATTCCAAACGCAACATGAAATGATATGACATGAGTTTGTTTCGGAAGGTAGCTCTATTGAAACAATGTGAATGTTGCACATGGAAACAAGCAAACGAGGACCTCCTCCAACCTGCAGGGAGCAATGTCTGCTGGCCACCACTTTCATGGCATGTTTCGGCAAAATAGTTTGCCGCGTGTGGATCTGTCGGCTGCTCCTGACAGAATGGGCCCAGGAGCACCAAATGCCAAGCAGTTCTTCCTTGGCGGCTTCTGGGCAGAAGGCTTTCCCCGTCAGACGCTCGTAGCCCAAAATTCTTGGAGCACCTGGGCACCTTGTGGCCATGACATGGGTCGCAGGCGTTGGACCCAGCCTGTACACGGCTCCCATCGGGAAGTGGCCCCTACTGTCGGCCGAGCCTCATTGCCAGCACAAAGCCCCCAGTTTCACAACCAACACTACGCCGCTTCGTACGTTACGGTTGCGACCCCAAGAGCCTTGGGATACCAAGTCTCTGCCCCACAAGTGGCACGTGCAGGTTCAGCTGCACGTTCGGCCTCTGTTGGGGCCCTGCGGCCTTTGGGCTCGGAGCTTTCTCACCCTGGAGGCCCTGGCCGACCAGCAGGAGTGTCCCACTTTGCCATCCCGGGAAGGGCGCAGAATGCCGCTGCTGTGTCAACATTGAGTGCAGGTCTCCTGACCGAGAGGATGGACAGAATGCCATCGCAGAGTTGGCAGCCCTGCGAGGGGCCGCGTCTAAATTCAGAATCTCTTACAAGAGGCACATTTGAATTGCATGAGGACCCGGCCCAAGAAGCCAACTCCCAACCTGAAGCTATAGTTCAAAATTGCCACGGAGAGCCAGTTGACTCAACGCTTGTAGTTCCTACTGCCGCTCAGCCAGGGAGCCCCTATAGGCCTGCAGATTCTAGGCCGCAATTCTGCAGGGAACAGCCCCAAAATATTCCAAAATGGCAAAACAAAAGCTGACAAAATCTACAAAGAGCTTCTTGTCCTTCATGCCAATTTTCCATGCCCCCGGTTTCACCCTTTTGCCATGGCCGAGGGCAAGCCTCAACAGAGCTCGGCTACTGGACCAAAGACACAGCAACTTGACGCAAGCAGGTCTTGACTCGAAGACCTTGTGAGAGGACGGCAGCCACAGATTATCAATGTTAATAAATTATCGAAGGAGGTCTAGAAGTCAAACTTCCGACATATCTGTGGACAGATGAAGCAACACTTGTGGGAAGAGAGAGAGAGAGAGAGAGAGAGAGAAGAGAGAGTAAGTCGATAAAAGCGCGCGAAAAGGTAGAGCGAAACACTGTTTTCCGGTGTTTTGCGGTTCCGGAGGGTCGAAATGCAGGCTCGCTAAAGCGGTGGGTGCGGAGCCACTTGGCGGGATGAGCGATCAAAAATTGCACGCGGCTGTGGCGCGGTCAAAATGCAAAAACCCCTCAACGTGGGAGCACTTTTGGAAGTTGAGCTGTTGAAAAAGTGCACGCGGCTGTGGCGCGAAGTGCGCTTCCAAGTCAAAATGTTAAAGCACTTCATCCTCGGGCACTTTGGGAAGTTGTGTTGATGAAAAAGTGCACGCCGTTGCGGCGCGAAGCACGTTTGATTTCCAAGTCAAAACATACAAAGCACACCATTCTCGGACCGCTTTTGGACGCTGAAGCGTCACTTTTCGTGGCAGGCGCAGTGGGTTCGGCACCTTCACAAAAGTGAGCCAAATGTGCGGGCCTTGCAACAATTTAAAAACGATGGCAGGCGCGGGACGTTTGAAGATGGCCTGCAACTACAGTATGCATGTCGCGTGGCAGGCGCAGCACAAGAGACATTTCCATCAGACATGTTAGGAGGCCTGGACGCGGATTTCCTGACGCTGTGGAGCATCAGATCGCCGGTTTCACTAAGATAATTTATCCCCATCTGGTGATGCAGATTTTTTTCCTGGGAGCCCAATACCAAAGTTAATAATTTTGAAATATGCTACATCCATGCGTCCCTTCGAACCCAGGACAAATTTTGGTTCAACATTATTTTCCTTTGATGTATAAATGTCGGGCAACAGGAAAGTAATTTTCATGGGGGGTGAAATCACTCGAACCAATATGTACGTCAAACCCTAGGAAAAAAATGACCCATGATTGTTTGAGGGGGCATGGTTCTTTACATGACTTTACATGGTTGGGAACAAGGATGTTAATCTTTGGAAATGGAGATATAATGATTATATTTAGAATGCTGAATTTGCATAGGTCAGACAATGTCAGACACCAGGAACAAATTCAAACATTTTGTGTCAACGCGCGCCCAAATTACAAAACATGTTATTTTTTGCTGAACATACATTTGTCCCTGCAAAAGGGTACAAATATATAATATGTTCAGCTTCGCCAGCATTGAAGCAGTGACTTGAGAAGAGGTCGAGGCGCAGGTGCCAAAAGTAAAACCCAAGGGGCTGGGCCTTTTTTCGGCTGAATACTTGCGGATGATCTTTCAAAGGTTGGCCCCACACGAGTTCCAGGCGCGGGTTATTTCTAAAGTTGTGATCCGTGCAGCCCAGAAAATTAATCTAGCAACAGCATATGTTAGGGGTGGTTATTTCAGCGTTGTATGAGAGTTGGCACCCAGGAATTCATTCGGTACCAGAGGAGAACAAAATCACTCCTGGAAACCTTAGGCATCAGGAGGTTAGTGCCTGCAAGCTTCAGTCGTCTTAGATTATAAATTCTAGCTAGAAAGGTCAGGGTACCAGGATTTTAATGTCAGAAAGGCCAGGACTCAAAAAATATCCCAGTTATTTTCCCAGAGCAGGACTCTCCGGGGTGCACCAGATGGGGATTAATTTTGCGTGACAGATGCAGTACTTCGTGTGACCTCGCTTTTTCGTGGCTGGCTCACTTTAGGCAGATGGGATGGACAAATTGCAAAACGCATTGTTACGAGGCCGTCAGGTCTGCACTCAACTTTCCATTTTTGAAGGAAGTTTCGCAGAATTCCTTCGCTTTTGATGTTGTCAACTTCGAATTCTCGAGAAAGCCGTCGCAGTTTTTTCGTTTTGGACCTGCCAACTTCCACTTTTAAAGGAAGTTTCGCATAATTGCGTCCTTTCAGATATATAGATGGATCGATAGATAGATGGACAGATATGTAGATAGATGGATATAGAGAGAGAGAGAGGGAGAGAGAGAGAGAGAGAGAGAGGGAGAGAGAGATAGAGAGAGAGAGAGATAGAGATAGAGAGAGAGATAGAGAGATAGAAAGAGAGAGAGAGAGAGATAGATAGAGATAGAGCGATAGAGAGATAGGGGTACAGAGAGAAGAGAAATGCAGAGATTGGGAGAGATGGACAGGCAAATGGATAGAGAAGTCGGTAGATAGTGAGAGGGGGAGAGGTAGATAGATAGACGGATGGAAAGTGAGATAGATAGGTAGGTAGATAGAAAGATAGATAGATAGATGGACATAGGAAGAAAGATGGGCAGAGAGAGACAGAGAGAGAGAGAGAGAGAGCTAGTGCTGGATAGACGCGCAGAAAGACAGGCAGAGACAGACAGAGACAGGCAGATGGCAGAGACATATAGAGACATACAGACATAGACAGAGAGAGACACAGAGAGACAGAGAGAGACAGAGAGAGACAGAGAGAGACAGAGAGAGACAGAGAGAGACAGAGAGAGACAGAGAGAGAGACAGAGAGAGACAGAGAGAGACAGAGAGAGACAGAGAGAGACAGAGAGAGACAGAGAGAGACAGAGAGAGACAGAGAGAGAGACAGAGAGAGAGACAGAGAGAGACAGAGAGAGACAGAGAGAGACAGAGAGAGAGAGAGAGAGAGAGACAGAGAGAGACAGAGAGAGACAGAGAGAGACAGAGAGAGACAGAGAGAGGCAGAGAGAGACAGAGAGAGGCAGAGAGAGACAGACAGAGACAGACAGAGACGGACAGAGACGGACAGAGACGGACAGAGACAGACAGAGACAGACAGAGACAGACAGAGACAGACAGAGACAGGCAGAGACAGACAGAGACAGACAGAGAGAGACAGAGAGAGACAGAGAGAGACACAGACAGGCAGGCAGGCAGGCAGGCAGGAGGGAGGCAGGCAGGCAGGCAGGCAGGCAGGCAGACCAACCGACCGACTGATGGACGGACAGACAGACAGACAGACGGACAGTGGGACGGACAGACCGTGGGACGGTGGGACGGAGGGTCGGAGGGACAGAGGGACGGAGGGACGAAGGAACGGAGGGACGGACAGACAGACAGACAGACAGACAGATAGACAGAGAGACAGAGAGAGAGAGAGAGAGAGACAGAGAAATTGAGAGAGAAAGAGATATAGATAGATTACAGATGGATGGATGGATGGATGGGTGGAAGGAGTGCATGGGTGGATGGATAGAATTAGATTAGTTTGGATTAGATTAGATTAGACAGACCGACGGATACATAAATAGAGACGGAGAGGGGGAGAGAGATAGATAGAGAGAGAGGGAGCTAAAGAGATACACAGACAGAGAGAGAGAGAGGGACAGAGAGATAGATGGATAGATGGGTAGATGGGTGGATGGATGGATAGATAGATAGATTTAGATAGATGAGAGAGAGGGGGAGGGAGAGAGAGAGAGAGAGAGACACAGAGAGACAGAGAGACAGAGAGACAGAGAGAAGGAAACAGAGAGAGAGATAGAGAGAGAGAGAGAGAGAGATAGAGAGAAAACCCCACAGCCTCAGCCTCTGCCATCCATGCATCACAACAACTCACCTCTCCTATGAGTTTACAGGTTTCCTATCGTTGAAACTTTCCCCGCCGCCTTGTGCGGCGCTACTTGTAACTCTACAGGATGTTGAAGCGGTTGAAAGGAGCGGACGAGGATTGCAAATGAGTTTCTGCTCGAATGAGTTGCCGGCAAATTCAAATTCTGCTTGTCCGTTGTGCAAGTTTTGTTTAATCAGCAGCTTCAGATTTTGCGAATAGTTGCGATTTGATGAGTTGATTCATGTTTGGAACAGCATTTCACAATGAGCACGCCAAAAACCAATTCAAGGTTCGGACTCTTGACACCACCGTCTCAGAGATCCTTAAGAAAGTCACCCAGCAGCGTGCGGTCACCAACCTCCAGTTTCTTGGCCTACTACAGATTTCAGCTTGTGACAATCTGTCGAGCATTTTATACACACATGACTTGTGCATGTCATGTTTGTACTTTAATTTTGGAAAAATGCAACTCTTGAGAAAGGCGTTCAATTCGGATCATCAGGGGTTGTTTCCTTCTTTATTTTTCTTTTAAAGCGTCTGCGCGTTGCAAAGGCGTTGCGTTCCCGGGTTCTTTTGTTCTTCGCCAGTCAACTCCACCAGAATCGCAAGAGGCGAAGGTTGACGCACAGGAGTGGCCGAAATTGACGGGGCTGTGGGGCACTTGACATCAATTTGCTATGATATGCTATTATGTTTGCTGGTGCGCCAGTTGAACAAATACAAAAGGATCAACACAATAAACTGTTGAACGAAAGTGGGGAAATGGCTCCTGTGTGCAGCGGGCGCTCTCGCAGCTGAACAGCGAGGAGCAGGGATCCAAAGGGCACATATCGAGTTGCCACGCGAAGAGACTGTTCTGCAAAATGGAAGTCACATGGTCAATGGCAAGTTGACTTTTCTATACAATTGTTAGGTCGTTGGCCGATAATAGGAGCTAGGCATGACCATTCATCACGGCGAGTCGGAGCCATGTGCACTGTTCAATGGAAATGATATTGTCGTTACCCCGGATCTCAGAGGGTTTTCATGCCCCAGTTTGGGCTAAGGAACGGCCACGTTCCTTCAGTGGCTTGCCAGCACGGAGGAAAAATCACTACTCTGACGACTCCGAAGATTTTGATCATATTTGACCCCTTTCGAGATCACTATTTGGAAAGTCATACTTCATTATTTCCTTATGATCACAACCATTTGCAGATCACAGACTAAGCTTTACAAAAGCTCCTTGGGCTCCTTCTTGGGCTCCTTGAGCACGAGAGGCTGTCACCTGAGACAACCAAGGAGCCACGTCCTTGGCCTAACAGCATCCCAGACGAGATCGGCGACTCCAAGCTCTCGCCTGTTCCACTGAGCCCATCATCATCAGCCTTTGCATCTTTTTCTCCAGGCGTTTTTTGAATCTTTTAAGCCAAGCAACGATGATTGTGAAGAGTACAAATGCAAAGCCTCCAATTCCAGCCTCGGAGACATGCAGCTCAAACGCAACGCTCATTTTCACTTGCTTTCTGGCAGGTGACATTGATTTTGGCCGAAAAGATTTGGCAAAATCTGCAGAGGCTTGGTTTGAACAATTTGCTTGAATAGACGGTAGCATCTGGTAGCTAAGCTAATGCTAAATCCCCAGGCTTGGAGCTCGTGTGTGCAGTGTTTGTAGGGTCCTGTCAGCGCTCAAGGTGATGAGAGCTGATGCTGAGACACAGACGACACCTCCCAGCGCAGAGAGGACTCCGAGTAGAAAAAATCGTCCCATGGCTCCTCGGGCTCCTCGCATGTTGCAAGATGCGCTTTGGAGCAAAAGTGGGAACCTCCCGGCGTGCGTCAGTGCGCTGGCCATGCGAGATGAGCTCGAGGATAGTATTTCAAATCGCTGCTGTCTTCGAAAACTTGAGATGCGAATTGCCCCGTGCTGGCGAAATGATGACAGCTTGCGGGAGAGTGATCATAGTAGCCTTCAGGTATCCTCTACACAATCACCTTCAACAGAGGGACATGAGCAGGCAAACCGCCCAACTCCCTTGGACTCCTTCTCTTCCCTGTCATCTCCTTTGGATCACTCCAGCGTCCTGAAGGACTAATGCTTTTGACAGGAACCATGTATATGATGCGTGGTATTGCCCTCATTTGCAGAGCAGCATTGATTTTTGTGTTTTTCTTTGCCTTTGTATCTTCTTGTTCCCTCAGGATGTTGAGAACATCAGCCCAGTTGCAGACAAAATCACGCGTAGAGATGTGGAGAAGTTGCCTATGGACGAGCTCAGAAAGCGAGCCAACACTTTGACACAAAAACTGGAGCGACGAAGCCTGGATTGTATTCATTCTTTGCAAGTTTCTTTGACAGTTTTTGCAACATGGTTGCCCCCACTCCAAACTGGTTCGAGCCGCATATTTCACTTGTTGAGACAGTACATGAGAGTGGGATCCCTGACTCAAAGCAAGGAGAGCAGCAATGCATGGCCTTGCGTGAAGCCTTGCAGAACTGCAAAAACAGGTGGCATGCACTATGCCCACAGTGAAGCTGCAGCCGCTAAGCCTTTCTTGGCTTTTTCAGTTTCTTTGGGCTCATTTTCAGGTCGGCTTCTCAGAGATGCTGTCGAGAACTATGCTCTGTGAATCGTGGCGTGGTGCGTTTATTCTGTTTGCACCAGGGTAAGGGAATGTCAGATATGTCAGGGCCCACTCGAAAGTGACTCAGGTTGGCTATAGAGGTGACCGTGAAAAGAGTAGGTCGAACTTCTGCTGGCAGATTCACTGTCAGCAAATTTGGATGCAAAGTTTTTTGAAGCGCTGTAGGCAATTTGGCTGGTGTGTGTGCATCAGGGGTAGATGTCGAGGGTAGGCATCTTACGAGTCAGCTGCCCCTTGCGAAGTAGCATGGGAAGCAACGGCCATAATTCAGGTGGTTATACAGCTGGGCCACCAACCCACTGGCTTCGCAGAAAAATGAATGCATCCGGCATGAATGTCCCAAGAAGCTTCAACTCTGCCCAGGCTGTCGCTCCCGACAAGTAACAGAACGACCAAATGCAAAACAGCACCGGGGAAGGTCAGTTTAGCTGCGTCTACGTAGACAGCCTCCTAGACCTGTGAGATCCTGTGAGCTCGGTCTGATTGGTGAAACTCCTTTCTGTTGGGGTTACGGTCTGACATGGAGACCGTTTGTGATATTTTGAAAACATCCGAGTGAACACTGATCTTGCTGTCCGGCAATTTGTGACATTTAGTTCAGGGCCTTCGTCCGCACAAAGGAAAGTGTTGTTTGGAGCATACCCAATTTACCTCTTCTGTATTTTGCAGATCTTCACCGAAAACTGCACTGTGATCTGCCCTCGTTGTGACATGACAACAGAAGGATGTGCAACCAACGGGAACTGTCAAGACATGTGAAGACGTTCAAGCAACAATAGGCTTCAAGCGGCCTTTACGTGGGCAACCCACAGCCCAAATGAAACGCTGCTGAATATTGTTTCTTGCATCCGACGTTTGAAAGGGTCAAGACGACCATCCGGCGTGCCAATGCTGCGAGCAGTTGGCCCACGAAGAAGGCGGGAATGCGGCCAATCACAGACTCATTGTGACTTAGTGTATCTCAGTCTTGTTTGATGCATTTCGAATTATTCCCGAAAGCTCCTTCAAATGTTTTTTCCCTAAAGAACTGCCAAATTCAATTTTTCACGTCATCTATATAACACCTCCTACTTCCCCTACATCACCTACATCATCTACATCAACTTCATGTACGTCGCATACATCATCTACATCTACATCAACTTCAATCAACTTCATTTACATTACATCACATATATCATTTACATCAACTTCATCTACATCACATACATCATCTACATCATTAACACAATTTGTAGGTGCCCAACGTCTACAAATATCCTACAAAACCCTACAATGTCATTTACAAAGGAGTCATTATATGTTATTACACGGGAGTTCTTACACGTTGTTACGCAGGAGTTGTTGCACAGGGGTTGTCACAGGAGTTGTTACAGTTACACAGGAGCTGTTACACGGGAGTTGTTACACAGGAGTTAACTTCCAGGTGATCAACTTGTATCCGAACTCCTACAAAACTCCTGCTTCTCAAGTTTTTCTAAATTTCTCTCTCTTGGCGGCAGAGGCAGCCAGGCCTCGTCCATCGAAACTTATAAGAAACGTCACCCTTTGCGGGGATCGTGCGTCTCCAACGCGAATTTGCATGGTTTGTGCTGGAGCAAACCTCTGCGGAGATCGTGTGTATCGGAAGCACAGGCGTGAGGTGAAATGCGAATTTTCTTTGCCGCGGCTCTGTGTAGAGACTTCTCTGTGTAAAGCTTCTGTGGGTAAAAACTTCTCTGTGTAAAAGCTTTTTTGTGTAAAAACTTCTGTGTGTAAAATCTCTTGTGTGTAAAGTAACTTTGTGTAAAGACTTCTCTGTGTAAATGCTTTTGTGCGTAAAAGCTTCTGTGTGTAACACCTGTGTGTGAAAACACAATCTCTTGTGATTCTGCCTGTCGCCCAGGCGCCAGCCCTGGAACAAACTTCTTTTGGGGGAAAAAAACGCCAAACTGTCAACATCACCACCAGCATCACCATCATCATTCATCATATTTTCTTGATTTTTCTTGTGTGTTATCTTCTCGTCTCCTCCCTCCTGCTTTCTTTCGCCCCACGCTGTCGTCTAGTTTTTGCCCATATGTTTACCAGTTACCATATATTTACCATATAGATAAACAAATGAGGAACAACATCCATGTCTTCGTACACATGTCATTAGTATACTATGTGGCCACGTGTTTGCTTTGTTTCACTTGGTTTGGGAATGTTTTGGACATTCTGGGTCTTTGTTTTTGTTGAAATTATATAGGCCCATGGATGCCGAAGAACACTATATAACCCGCCACCATCCTGTTCCTGACAGATTGCGATCGCGTTCCGCGAAGCGCAGGTATGCAGTCGCTGCAATTCTGGCGGCAGTGCTCTGTGCGTATGGCATCAAAACCCTGAACTTTGTTGGCAGGGTCATACAGGTCCGGTACGCAGTTCGATATGTTCACAGTGCTGCCTCAAGCTCGCTGCAGTGCGTGTGGCTTTCGCAAAGTGGGGTGCTGGATCAGCGCAACTATTGGCCCAAAGATACCTCCCCTAGCCTCCCCCAGCACGACTCGCAAACAGATGGTGGTGGACTCCTTGTGCGAGACTCTTTTGAAACCGAGAAAGTAGACATTTCTGGGGTATGCGAATCCCTTCACCAACAACATTTTACATACAATTTGCAGCCACTCTTGACAGACATGTTTGCAAGACGCCCTTGGGAGACACATCTTTTCTGCGTTCTCTTTCTCCCATTTATTCTGCGAGACTCTGCCCTGCTCTTCTCCTTCCTTCATGCAAACCAGGACCATTGCAAAGCTGTTATAGGCAATATATTCAATATATTAATAGTATGTTCTTCTCCTTCTGGCCTCTTGCATCCTTTGGGTTCCTCGTTGAACTTAAAGATGCTCCGAGGCTTCCAAGCCTGCCTGTAGCATCATTGCGAATGCAAAGGAGGGCACAGGGTGAAGCCCGGCGAAGCTGTCATTTTTTCTCCTCATGTTAGGTCAGCCTTTACTGATTCTATTGGGTTCTATTTGATTCTACGTGATTCTGTTTGATTCTATTTGATTCTACTTGATTCTGTTTGATTCTATTTGATTCTGCTCGATTCTGTTTGATTCTATTTGGTTCTACTTGATTCTGTTTGATTCTATTTGATTCTACTTGATTCTATTGGGTTCTATTTGATTCTACTTGATTCTGTTTGATTCTATTTGATTCTACTTGATTCTGTTTGATTCTATTTGATTCTACTTGATTCTATTGGGTTCTATTTGATTCTACTTGATTCTGTTTGATTCTACTTGATTCTACTTGATTCTGTTTGATTCTACTTGATTCTGTTTGATTCTATTTGATTCTACTTGATTCTGTTTGATTCTATTTGGTTCTACTTGATTCTGTTTGATTCTATTTGGTTCTACTTGATTCTGTTTGATTCTATTTGATTCTACTTGATTCTATTGGGTTCTATTTGATTCTACTTGATTCTGTTTGATTCTATTTGATTCTACTTGATTCTGTTTGATTCTATTTGATTCTACTTGATTCTATTGGGTTCTATTTGATTCTACTTGATTCTGTTTGATTCTACTTGATTCTGTTTGATTCTATTTGATTCTACTTGATTCTGTTTGATTCTACTTGATTCTATTTGATCTACTTGATTCTGTTTGATTCTATTTGATTCTATTTGATCTACTTGATTCTGTTTTATTCTATTTGATCTACTTGATTCTATTTGGTTCTATTGACTCTACTTGATTCTGTTTGATTCTATTTGATTCTACTTGATTCTATTTGATTCTATTTGACTCTACTTGATTCTGTTTGGTTCTATTTGACTCTACTTGATTCTGTTTGATTCTATTTGATTCTGTTTGATTCTATTTGATTCTACTTGATTCTGTTTGATTCTATTTGATTCTATTTGATTCTACTTGATTCTATTTGGTTCTATTTGATTCTACTTGATTCTATTTGGTTCAATTGGACTCTACTTGGTTCTGTTTTATTCTATTTGATTCTACTTGATTCTATTTGGTTCTATTTGACTCTACTTGATTCTATTTGGTTCTATTTGATTCTGATTGTTCCTATTTGGTTCTATTTGACTCTACTTGATTCTGTTTGATTCTATTTGATTCTACTTGATTCTATTTGATTTTATTTCATGTTATTCGATTCCATTTTGTTCTACATGATTCTATATTTTGCATCTATTTGCAATGGCTCTTATCCACCAACCTTCTGCAAGGAGAAGAATGCCCTAGCCGAGTTTTTAAAGCCTCGCATGGGCAAGGCTTGGAACAACTTGAATTTTGATCCAATATTTGCGTGATTCTGGACGTTGCGGGTCGTCACATCACAAAAGACTGCTGTCTCGTGCCCCTTTGGCCACCTCAGCGTGCATGGCTATAACCTTGTTGATGTTGCGGTGCATATGCAGGGCACATTGCGTGAGTTGCCATCCAATGCGGAGATGATCGGTACACTGAAGATAGTGTACGAGGTGCAAAGAAATAAACAAAAACCACCGGGGGCTGAAGACATCTGAAGATTCAGCATGATTCAGCTTCTCATGACTTTCCCCTGTGTGCTTTTCGCATGTCAAACTTGATGGCATTTTGATGGCAAGAAGAAACTTATTCTTGTCATGGCCTGCCAGGTAACTCTCAGCAAACCACTTGGTATTACCCTTGCGGATGCTCCCCGGGGCCCAGGACAGTGTCTGACAATCACGGGGCAGCTTTCTGAAGCCACACGTGGCCACACCCAAGAATCGCGTGAGCAGATGCTGCAGCAGAAGTGCCAATGCTGGCAAGAGCCTCTTTGTACCTCAGGATTTGGGGTTGGTGTGGAGGAGGTACTACCAGGAGGGAATGCGCGTACGGCTCAGTCATTTTTGAATGGCGCTCTCTTTGATGAATTCTCAGCAGACCACGTTTGAGGATGGAAGTTGCACAGTTACATCTCTCTTCATAGTTTGGCATGGTTTGGCAAGACACACACAGTTTGAAGGGTGGCTGGATTGGCAACCCGGGTGGGTTGCGGTGAGTCTGGGTGGACCTGGGCCACCCAGGAGACTTGAGGTCGCAGAAATATGTGGAAACGAGGAACTACTACCATCCTGGCCATTTCTAGACAAATTATTGTGCTTTCAAATTTGAACTATAAGTTTGGTCGATGAAAGCGGCCCCACATCAATACCAGCAATGAAACGGCAAGAATCGCTGGCTCTTTGAAAATCATTTCGCCTGTCTAAGGGACAAACTCCTCCAGGAGGTCCTGGCCGGGAAGGATTCTATGTGGATTCAGGACTGCTGAACTCTGCTGACCTACAGCTTTGTTGGATTAGCAAGCCCCGTCTCTCTGTCTTCGTGCTTATGGAGCCGCGTTTGACTGAACTGCGCAGGAAGGTGACGAATTGGAAGCAGTAAATGG